CTAATGGTACGTTAGTAGCAAGCATAATAGTAGCTAACATTACCATTACGTTGTAGATGCTGGTTGGAAATGTAGATGGCTCGTGGCTTCCTGTTTAAAATAGTTATGTATGCGTGAACGTAACCAATGCGGTGACTTAGTGAGTGGTGTCCCAATTCCTAGGGAAAGATTTTAACCCCTACCACTTGTTGCTTCATTTCGAGGGCCAAGGGGTAATGGGCAAGGGCTAGGGGTAGGGCCAAGGGCGAAGGGGTAGTGGACAAGGGGGGGTATCTCAATTGGGCCAAAATGGAGGAAGAGTTAGCCTGGCTCTGTCCAAAAGACCACTAAAGTTCATATATCAACATGCTGTATCTTATCTGTTCAACCTGTACAAAAACAAAGCATAAAAACAGCAAGGAAGGGTTATGTGCTGTACTGTTGCTTCAGTGAGAGCAGTAACTTTCAGGGGATTGCTGCTGGATGCTTAACAATGTCACACTGACAAGAAGGCTTCTGAAAGTTACTGTGCTGTGCCAGAAAAGGGACTTTGTCACCTTTGGACTGAGCAAGGCTTGCTGTGACACCCAGTTCCAGACCTTATGCTAAGTTACAGCAACCTCACAGACAGACATGAAAGTCTTTCATCCAACTCTCAGCATCAACATTAACTGTATTTCCCCAAATATCTAACCATTAACATTACTTTGCAGTTTTAGTGGCCATTCAAGAATCCAGTATAATCTGAATATGAAGGTGTTGAAGGCATTACAGGGGGTTAATCATGCTCAAAAAAGTAACGCACGGTGAGCAAGTTTGATCAAACGAAAGCAGCCTGACGAGCCACGGAGCACCTGCCAGAGGGCTGCTTTTGAAAAAGAGCCAGAGCAGAAGCAGTAAAAAGATGTGAAAAGCGTACACAGGTGCTGATTAGAAACCTTCCTCGGGGCAGTCTGAAACCACAAAGCTGCAGAGGCTGCTTGACAAATAGACACCCGCTGCAGTTCTACTGTAGTACAGTTTGCTCCGTTTGAAATAGTCGTTGCAGGAGAGCCATTTAATAGTCTCTATAAAAGACCCTCACTGTACTGGCTCAAACCTCTTGGAAAAGCTCCAGTGGGTGCTGTCTGTCCAAGTGATGTGCAAATGATGGGCCGTATAATGAGCAGGTGCAGACTGTGTAGCGAAATCATTCCCACATGCTTTACAACCAGATGGGAGAGCTAAAGGAACAAGGTTTTTGTTCAAGATATGGTTAGGTGTGTCAAAAGCAGTATTCTAGTAGTGAAGTATAAATCTACCAGTGAATGCTGCTGAGTGTAGTCACCAGCTCTTTTTATTTGATTGATTCAGTTAAACAGGCATGAAGGGATTATTAAAGTATGCTGTTTCAAAAAGATAACATTTGTATTATACAATATATCACTAGTCATATGAAGCTGAAGAGGACAGTTCACCCCAAAATCAAAATTACGCAACTTCCCTGCAGTGCTGTTTATCAGTCTAGATTGTTTGGTGTGAGTTGCCGAATGTTGGAGATAACAACGGCAGAGAAGTCTGCCTTCTCTGGAATATAATGGAAGTAGATGGCATTCAGTTTGTGGTGCGTAAAGCGACAAAAAAATGAAATAAAAAAAAAAAAAGCAATGTCTCTTTCCAGAAAAAGATGACCCGATTATTCAAGATAATACAAAGACCTTGATATGAGCAGTTTCATGTAGAAACTATTTTCTTGCAACCGAAATACATTTGGCAATTGTTTCAACATGCCCACCACAACTCCCGCCTCCCTCCAACGTCCCATCCCCCTCGTCCTGCAACACCACCTCCCTCCAAAGGCCTACTCCCCCCTCCTCCATTACGTCCTCATTACGTCTATGATAGACGTAGGCGTTGGCAAGGTAACGTTAGATACATGGAAGGAAGAGCGAGTGTAACGTTACAACTAAGACAGTCAAACACAACCCCGGAGTTTTAAAATTCAACCGGAGTCAGTGATGACTGATGAGATTTAGAATAAGGTTACAGTGCTAACGTTAGATAGTAGTGTTAACGTTACTAGTAAGTGGAAAAGCACGAGGAAGATAACGTTAATATTCCAGAGGCTACGCTACAGTAGGCTAACGTTAGCCATTAGTGACTAGATGCTGTGTTGTCATATAACGTTATATGTTATATTAGAAGCAAACTAAACATAACGTTAAATGTTCTGCACAGTCAAACGCAACCCGGGAGTTTTGAAACTTATCTGGGGTCAGTGATGACTGATGAGTTTTATAATGTAACGTAAACGCTAACGTTAGATAGTATTGGTGACTGGCAACAAACAAGGAAGATAATACAGAGGCTCAGGCAGGCAACGTTAGTAGGCTAACCATTAGCAACTGGATGCTGTGTTGTCATATAACATTATAGCCTATGTTATATAGGGGGTGAGATGTTACGCGAGCAGTTACGTCAGTCGGAGGCCTCCATGTGGGGAAGAGAGACAGGATGCTCGGCCAATCATTGCATTCGGTCCGAATGCAATGATTGGTTGGAGTTTTCTTAGAACCATATGAGAATGGTATTATTATGACATTATTACATTTTAGTGTGTCATCAGCTTATTAATAGCATTTTAACCTAAACAAAGAAAAGTGTAAAATTTCCAGAAAGGTAAGTGTCGCTTTAAGGAAGAAGTACTTCAAACCTTCTAACACCTGTGACCCATTTTCCTTTTTTATTCCCTCACAAACAAAATATAGACACTCTTTTTTGCCCTATTATGGTGGTTCAACATGGATTTGATCAAGTTTCACTGTGCTGCTGCACTTATCGTGAAACAATCTGGATTTACTGAAATGCTAAATCATATAAAGCAGAGTTTTCATTTCTTTCCACAATCTTATGGTGCCCAGTCATTTAGCCCAGTGATTTAGTGTGCCAACTATTTGTGTTTGTCAGTGCCAGATATAATGTGTTAAGCAGGCTTGTGCAAAAAGCTGCAGTGGGTGTATTTATGTATTTCTTTGTTACAGCCATTCATATGTTTGCAGTAACAGCTTGTCAATAGCCTTCTATTGTCCGAAGGCAATTTTCCCTCACAACAAAAAGCCTGCACTGATTTTCATTAGCTGCCTTCCACTTTCAGGAACATGCTGGAAACTTATTTGGCCTCACTGGAATGCATCTACATCGTTGTAAAAGTAAAAGTCACATTTGATTCCAATATGCTGCCTCCGTTATACCCCCCCAGAGAACTGCAATCGGAAACATTGTTTTCATAATGGTGCATTTTGTGTTTACAAGTGTGTTGTGGCTCTTTGTACAGCCAGACGAGTAAGCAGCAGGACCACCTCCTTAGATGTGTAAGTGTGAAAGCAGCATTTCCCATCAGCTTTTGTCTGGGCTTGTTGAAGCGAACATTTGCCTCATATTTGAATAAATAGGGCGATGCACTCTACATGCTAGCTGTACAGGTTCATAACCTCATGACCAAGGCAAATTAGGGCCTTGTGCACATCCAGTTGGGAACACATGCACTACTATACATAAACAGAAAGCTACGGATAGTTAACTGTGCATTAAAAATAATGTCCAAAGGCACTGAGCAGGCTACAACTCACTTCCCCCAGAGCAGTGTGGTAGAAATTGGCTGAGGAAAACTGCTGGACTACCTCTCAAGCATTTCAGTTTTAGACTGTGCTATTGTGTGCCAGTGCAGTGGAAGCCTGTCTGCGTCTGCAAGCCTGCTATTCTGGGTCACTGGAGGCTGTTCCTGTGAGTCTGTGGACCAGAAACAGGTCCTATACTAATGTCATTGATCTGTGGATTAGTGTCAGTAGATTTTTTTTTTCTGTTTGTCTGATATCTTTGGAAGCAAACCATGTTTGACTGATATTAGCCTGGAAAAGGAACCACCGCAGAGTTATTACCATAGTTGTATTGGTGACAGCTGAACAACTTGTTCTTTTTACCTGAGGACATATGTGGCATTTTTTTGGCTGTTACAAATCAATGACAAAGTTAGAAGAGATGCACAATTTCCCCAAACCTTGGAAGTGATTGTAGAATATTCAACTATTTTCTCAAATATTAATTTCATCTAAGTACTTGGATCTTACAAATATATTTGACAAATAGCTTTTCATATGAAACTCCGGTTAGCATCAGTCTTTCTCAGTTTCTGCAGGGGTTCAGGAACATTGTTGCTAAGCGGGTGGTCAGTTAGTCACTCTGCTGACACTGATCTAATGCTGATTTTCCCAAAGCTAGCTTTTTCCAAAAGTGCGACCTCATAGGAAGAAAGAGCCCAGCACACTGGGCTACATCCTTCAACTTGGATGTTAAAAATAGTGTTTTTGAGCACAAGCTCATTAGGCTCCAGCGTATGGATGCACACCTCATTGTCAAATCCTCTACTTCACTCATAATCTTTTACAGAGCCCACCCAGGAGCCCCTGCTTGCTGACTGACAGAAGTTGGATGCAAAAACTGCCTCACAAAAACTGCTGTGTAAAAAGAAAAAAAAAAAGAAGTGTTCCTCTTGTTCAGGGCACATTTTTACTATGTGCTTGCCAATACTTGGTTGGGAGATTGCTGGATTTGATCCTCTATGTAAACATGGGCTTGATTTGGGCCTGTTTTTGGTTTTAATTGTATGTTTGTATAATCCCTGCCGCCTACAATGCATAAGGTACCGCTTCCCAGTCTGTGACAGGGCATTTAAATCAAATGCTGAGAGAGATGTCAAAAAGTACACAATGTTAGTTTTATCATAACTCAATTTTTTAATCGTTTGATTTTGCCTTCTTTCTGGAAGTTCATGTTTGTTTATTGGGTAACACGATTGGTCACCCTGGTTTTACAGTTGTTGTGGTGTACTGTATCTTACCAAAGTGTGTCATGGCGCCAGAATTTTCACAAATAACCAACATGGACTGTAGTTTGTCATTTTCTTTTGTGTTGTTTAAAAGTTTTAACAATGCTTTCTCTCTCTCTCTCTCTCTCTCTCTCTCTCTCTCTCTCTCTCTGTGTAGGGCCCCCCAGGTCCCAAGGGTGAAAAGGTAAGTAATGTTATCATTCATTCGATGTATCAATTGATATACTGTTGATCTAGTCAAATATTTTATTCATCTGCGTAAAGTAATTTTTTAAAGGTAGATGTGCTTGTTTGTCATTTTGCCGAGAGTTAGTTAATACCACTGTCATGTCAGCAGCTGGTTAGCTTAGCTTAGCTTAGCTTAGCACAACGACTGGAAGCAGAGGAAAACAGCTAGCCTGGTTCTGTCCAATGATAACAAAATCTGTCTCGCAACAACCGCCCCTTTTGAATGTTATCAGTCCATTAAATGGCTATTATCGGTTGTTATCACTACCATTATAATCAGTGGTGTAGTCGTACTTGATGAGGTGGGTATACTACTAGGTAGATGGGTAGTTAAGCTGAGGAGGAAGTCGGTATACTCGCCAATATATTCTGGTTGCTTTCTGGCTGATAGGTAGGTATACTGTAAACAGACAGAAAACAAGGTGGGTATACCCTCTATACCTGCATATATCCTACACTACACCACTGATTATGATAAAAGCAAATTGCACCCACCAGTAAGCCAGGTTTCAGTTTCGTAAGGTTTAGGCAGCAAAACTATGTGGTCAGTGTTCAGTGTTTGTCTGACCCTGTCTCCATCCTACACAGACTCTCTTGCTCTTTACGTCACCTGACTTCTTCCTTTGCTCTCATGATAATTACGAGGCCATATAAAGGTGCCGACTAACAATAAACATACATGCAGGAGGTAGAGTAGGGCCGCACTACCTCAAACAGTTATTTAATGGGCTGACAATGGCCTTCTGAAACTACTATAGGTGTAGCTGGCCCATTTTAATTGATATCTTTGAAGCTGATAACCCCTGATAACACCCATCCAATCAGGTGATAACATTCAGAAGCAGATTCATGAGAATTATATTAATCTTTTCATGTAATTCTCAGTATGAAAGTGAAAATGTTTATTTCCTAATTTGTCAAACTATCCCTTTAAGAAAGGTTTAGTCTTTAATATCAAGCCCATCACACATTTTTGCAGGTCAAGACGATTAAATTTATCTTTGTTTTTGCTCTACTCGCTGTTAATCTCTCAATAAAACATGTCATTCTGCGTTTGCGGCAGTAATTCGCATTCAACTCATCCTGAATATTTAAATTCTCCTGTCGTTCACAAATCCACAACACAGAACATTAATGCCTGAAAGCCAGAGCCCAAGTAGGAGCCCTTAAATGCCTCACTGAGCATTTCTCCATAAAACAGCAGCGGGGCATGCAAAATAACCACACTGTCTCTTTATAAGCCTGCAGGACTCTGGGACAAATGTGTGCCTGTGGCTTTGCTTTGAAAGACTAAAACCACGACCTCCCTTGATTCACACCAAAGTTGATGAAGTCCCTTTATTCATTTACAGTGGAAACAAGTGCATACTTTTAAAACGCTACCAGGGAAGATCTGTTTTACATGCCATCAATGAATAGATTAAGTATTTATTTATATTTTGTGTGAAGTAAGCAACAACTTAGACAATAACCCATGATGTTTCAAGGATTACTGAGCTGTAAAATAGCAGACATAAAATAAAATAGCGTGAGAGATCTAACCAGAGCTAAAGTTAAACACAGAGAAACAGTTCACAGTTGTCATCTGCATCAAGTCACACTCTTTGGTAAGAGATGATTTCTAGTCATGTGGGGTGTGGAATGACGTTGGTTGTTGTCGCTGACCAACGTAATGAATCAACAGTGTGATCTCTTATTTGGTGCCCCTCAAAGCAGAAAATGGAACCCATAAGCATGGCCAACAAAACCAGATTTAGATGACTGTCGAGCATACGTTATGACAATCATGAAAAGCCCAGTTCTGCTGATTAGATGCATGTTCATGTCTCTCATGTGAACCACTTCATCTGCAGTTTAATGAAATGAAAAACAACTGTGTGCATTCCTCCCACCCAAGTCGATTGCAGCGTGCATCAGTGTGGCCATTCACAACTGTTTCCCTGTTAAATCCGGTTTTGGAACGACTGCCCAATGAAAAATTACAAAAATCCAGAGAGCTGTTTTATTTGAAATCACTCAGGCATTACATTGAAGTTTGTTTGAGCAAAATTCCCATCCATGTGTGATAAGTTGTTTGGCTCATTTTACTGCTGTGGCTAAGTTGTAACTCAGCCAACAGGAGAGGGGAGAGCATCAGATGAGGTGGTTTAAGGGTGTTCAGTTATCCGATTCTAGACGGATTAAGGTTAGAATTCAGTGTCCAACATTTGGTCTTCCTTCAGTTGTTTTAAACAAAAGTGTACTTTTGGTTCGGTTTCACTCTAATGTGATAAACCCCCAGTTCTCGCCATGCAGGTTGATTCAAAACCAAACGTACTCTCCTTCAGGAACGTGCTCCGTCCACAGAGCTCTACCCCCAAATCAAGGCAGTAAGCCAAAGATCTCTGGGGCATAAAATCTGGCCTGGCAATTCAGTTCGCCCACACTCAGCTCCCCCCTCACCAAACCCACCAAGCCTCACACTACTGCTCTCTTTCTTTCTCTTTCTCTCAAACCCAATTCATGTCAGTCCATGTTATCATAAGTGATTTTACTCTCAACCACAACGAATAGTTGAGGGTTCCTGTATTATTTTTCTTTATCAATGTGTTCTGAATTATGCCTCAGTGATTTCAGTGTGAGTCTCAGCTTATTATCAGCACTGTACTTGTGTTCGGTGTGTGTTTGGCCCCTGCATTTCAAGACAAATTCTTTTTCTTGCCTTCCGCAGGGGGATCAAGGCGACCAGGGACCACGGGTATGCAGTTTACTCTTACTTCTTGTGATTAGCTGATGAATGTGACTGCGTGTGTCTCCCCCAGCAGAATTGTGGGCAAAAGGTTTGAGATGCATGAAATTCCTGGGATAGTGTTCTTCCCATCTGGCCAAATACAATAAGCATTTCAGCACTGCTTATTTCTACATCAAGAATGGGCAGGCAAACGTGCAAGATACTTTGGGGTGATATACTTCTTGAGATGCAAAGACCATTTTTTGTACCTCATGTCTTCAAATTGAACATGAGTGCAAGCTTTTGCCCATCAGCAGAATATATCTGCTCAATCTCAGCTATAATCAAAAGCCAACTAGCTCTGTCTCTATAATTACTCGTGATTCACTTCAATCCTTCGACGTGACATGGCGTATTCAGAGGTTTAATCATTTCCAGCTCTGTAGTTTGACATTTCTATAAAAGCGCAGCTTCTAAATGATGACGATGTGAGTGCTTTTCCGTGCTTGACAGACTCTGAAATGAATTACTCTATCTCCAACAAGCAGCGAGCGTGCCCTCATTTTTCTCAAATAATGGTTAAAAAATGAGCCCTCCTTGAAAGGCAGACTGTGACTGCACAGGTTTGTTTAAAGTAGATTGCATTAACTGGGGTCACATGTGCACATGCACACACACTGTTTTTCACTTCCTCTGTATCTGCTGTCATCATCAAGAGTAGATTGTATGGAGTCTGAGTCACTTTAAATGCCTGTAATTGATTTCCTTGAGGGCAGAGCGCACACAGAAGTTGGAGCATGAGGACAAGAGAACGCAACAACACACACAGAGGTTTGTCTTGTCACCAGAACACCAGCCATCTCCCAAGTGGATCTGATCCCAATTCAGTATTGGCGCCCAACCAGACGTTAGTAGTTTGCCAATTACCTTTGTCAGCTTTCCCCCTAGGTCTGTTTTGCACGTCAAAGCACTGCATTTCTTATGATTTGGAAGTCAATACAAGTGACCTTCCCTTGCGAAATTTGATTAGTGGTCTCAAAGTGATACATCTTATGTTACACATAGGCACTCCTCAAATGACAGCCAAGTTCATAGAGATTACGGATCTCTGAGGGGTTTCACACTTTCATGAGATCGGCGAATACGTTCCCAGATCTGTGATATCCCTTGTTAATTTTTAATGATATAAAGTAGTATTGGATAATCATTACTATTGCAAAGGCTGAACCACTACAAGCAGGACAGAAAGGAAATATCTTTGTTCCTGAGGTGAATTGGCGAAAGTAAACTATCGCCATTTGGATAGAATTTCTTGGGTTTTGCCCATAATTTGTACCCTTTTAACCTAGGAAATGGAGTCATCTGTCTCTATCAGTTGAATGATTTACAACTTGAAAACAGCAGTGTGGCTGACAGAGCTGTAACAGGGACCAGCCATGCCCTATTTGTCTTGTAGAGTAAATAAATAAACTGTCCACTTCAAGAAAGCATTTCATTAACTCCCAATTACAGCAAAACTGTCCCTTAACAGGTACAAATTAACACACAGTCATAATCTCATATGAAGGACTGCAGGGGCATGAAAGCAGTCTAGGTCACCAGCAAATTCTATTACCTCCCCAGAATGGCATATTGACTTTGCACATTAGATTAGTAGGTAAATGTAGTGGAACAGTATTAGAAAGATTTCCTTAATCAATGAAGGCAGAACAGGACAAGTGCTACCTGACCTTGACTCTATCTGGCTGGGAATTAAGTTAATTTCATGCGCAGTATTGACTGAGTGTCGAGAGGCTATTAAACCCATATGGAGGTCCATGTAAACAAGAACAGAATACGTCCTGTACACATCACAGCCTGACAGATTACATCATATGTAAACAGATTTAAATCTACAATCATTTAAAGGACATTTGTGATTGCATGTTGATACAATATGTGTATGTCTTCTGGGGTCAACTCTAATGGTCAGGTCAAATCCCCCCCCAGCTCCTGTAGCCAAAGACAATGTGAGAATTGCCACATAGCCAGCAGAATTTCCTCACAGACACACACTTCCTCTGCCTGGACCCCACATGTCAGGGTCAGCCATTTGTCGGCCCTAAAGGTCAAAGGCCACGTCCAAAACGCCAAAGGTTAACCAAGCAACAAATAATAAATTGGCCAGTTTTGACAAACAAATGTGTGGCCACCGTTGGGGCACCACTGGTGGGATATAATTAACAGGATTTACTGACACTGTGTGTCACCAAGAAAGGTGTGTGGTCTTTTTGAGGGATGGCCGTGGCCACAGGTGTCAGGCAAAGGTTGGTGAATTCCAGCAACGGGAAACATTCCTGAGATTTCACAAAGAAAACTGCCCTAGTTTGTCCAGGACTTTACTTCTCACATTGTGGGATTTGACCAATTTGCGATGTTCTTCCAAAATAAAGAAACAGTGATTATGTAATTTCCAGGATTTGACTTTTCAGTCATGAAAAAGAAGTGTGTTCGCAGTCTACTGTTTGCACATGAAATCAGAAGCCTCAAAATGAATTTCACTTGAGATACTTTGGATGTATCACATTGATGCCAAATCTGAGGCTTTAAATGAATGTATTATTCCTCTCTTAAATGTATTAAAGCCATCTGTGCACAGAACTGGTAATCCACTCCACATATAGATATTCAGAAAATGCCTCAGCCTGTATTTGCTCGGGATGCTTTGTGTGTTTGGTGTGGTCGAGGAGATGCTGGTTCTGGCCAGTGTCCTATGACGGCTGTTGCTGATTGTCCTTATATCTGGCTTTTTGTTTACTACAGTTGCAGTTGTCTTGCTGCGGGCAAATGCATAGCACTAGAGCTCCTCACCAAATAACCAACATCCGTTTTGGAGGGGAAAAGCAAAACAAAGCAATCTGTGAATGGTTAGGATTCTCTGTCAACAGCCATGTCATTATCATTCTCACACATAGACATCAGCGCAGAGGCAATGCAGGGTGAGCTCTAACCCACACCTAGTCAGGCTTCCCTCTACTTTCTCTCATCTTCTACAGAGAGAGATCAAACTATGGTTTTTGGTCAGATAATCATTTATCTTTTTACATATTTCAAACACACATTGGTCAGTGAGGTTGTCGGCATGCTGTAGACCTGAGTGTCGCCTAGCCTCTCTAGAAAAATGGTTTTAAAAGGATTCAAGCCAGAAAGCAGTGCCAGCCTGCACATGCTCCACACTACATGTTCATGCCTTGACTCTTTGTATAGTCTGCTCCCCACTGACCATAATCCAGTTCTTGTTTTCCATCTTTGTCCCCAAGATGTTTGAGGTTGCAAATAACTTGAGAAATATTTGCGATTCAATCCCAGTTACACACAGCATGGCTATTGTCTGCAGTGTAAGAGTATTGCTCTGTTCTGCTGCAGGCTGAATTAAACCAGCCTGGCTTGAAAGCCATATTCTTAATGAGCCATGCTTTTTGAATTATCTTTGGAAAACCAGAGGGATGGCACCGAAGCCATGTTTGGATAGGCCAGATTTTATCTTAAGCTCAAATATGGAAGAAGATTGATCTCTTACGGGGCATGTTTATTCTAGTGTGCCAGTCTTTAAAAAATGCTTTCATCAGTTCATTCAGGTTGGTTGAAGCAAAACCTGCAGCATAAAGATAAACAGGAGACTGTGCAATCTCTGCACAAGCAATGTGGTACAATCTTTACATGTTCTTCCATAAACTGAGCATTTTAGCTAAAAACATTTATATTTAAACATTTGCTAAATTGCTACACTTGTCATGCTCTCCCTTTTTGCACAGTCCATAATGTAGTTTACAATGAAACCTTCAAACTCTTTAAACGCAGAGTATTCCCCTAATTATAGCCCCATGAACACCACCTTGACTTGTTAAGAAAACCAAAGCTGACAGGACTGCTATGCCTAAACCAATCATCAAATGTTGACACTGTACATTTTTCAGCCCCACATATACTTTACTTTTGCACGTTATGTCCTGAATGCATTGAAATTTTAGGTTTTTTAATATTCCAACAACTCTGTGGTCAGCATGTGGTTATGTTTCAGCACAAAAGCCACTTAGTTATGGTTCGGAAAAGATAATGTGTTGAATCACCTGCATTTGGTGGTGAAGGGTCACAAGAAAACACCCACATTTGATGAAACAAACCCTGCTAGAAAAGGCGGCGACAGGTCACTTAAAACACCCACGTTTGGTGAAACAAATGCTGCTAAGAACGGGACGGGAGCTAAACAATAGCCACATTTGGTAGTGCTAATGCCGCTGGAAATGCAGTTACGAGTAGCTAAAAACACCCACATTTCATGGCAAAAACACATGTGGAAACGTGACAGGTCGCTAAAAGACACTCGCATTTGGAAGTGCAAATGCTGCTGGAAATGCCGTAACAGGTTGATAAAAACACCCACATTTGGTAGTGCAAATGCTGCTGGAAATGCAGCAATGGGTAGCTAAAAAACACTGATGTTTGATGGCACAAACATTACTGGAAATGCAGCAACAGGTTGATAAAAACACCCATATTTGATGGCAGAAACGCCTGTGTAAACGTGACGGGTCGCTAAAAAAAACACTTGCATTTGGTAGTGCTAATGCTGCTGGAAATGCAGTGATAGGTGACTAAAAACCTGTCTTGTTGTTTGTTTGTCTTGCACTTAGAAATGTACAATGACAGCATTTTCTTCTGGTGACTGGGCTGCTGTGCCTGGTTATGGTTGCCAAACTGTGATTGGACCAGCACTGTTTGGGGGAGGGGTTCTGCAAACTGTAGGTTCATGTTTCAGTGAACATTTATACGGCAGTATGACTGTAGGAGACTTGACACCGTCAAAGACCTTGTTTGACAGGTATGCAATTCAATAAAATGTATATGTCTAAGTAATCCCCCAAAAGAATGATTAATGGCAATCGATAAAACATAATGAAGTGCATTTATTTGAGTACAACATTTTAAACCATGTTTAGCTGAGGATATGTCAGTGTTTCTGGATTCAGTTTAAAGTTAGCATGCAGCTATAAACCCTTGTCTCCTCTTAACAAGAAGAAGGCCTGATGCTTTTTTTCTTTTATTCATTTTTCATGAGTGGATCTCATCTGTCATGACCATTGTTGACAAGGGAATTGGAAACCATTTGATTGAATTTCCAGTGAACATCTCAATCCCTTGATGTTCCCCAAAACTCTACGAACAACACAGCCCCCCAATTCACCAGTATGTTATGGCCTCAAAGTCTGCTCTGTGATAATCATCTCAACAAATGTTCTGTCTGTATATTTGGGAGAAAACAACAGGAAATGGTTACTTAGCGAAGACATTGTAGCATGCACTCTGCACAGAATGGTCGCAGTGCCGTTGTACACACAGTTTCATGGCAGGGAGTAAACTTGGACTTGTTTTGTTTGTTTTGTTTCGGTCTGAATTGAAATGCCTGGTCCTTAAAACTAATTGTATACAGTTAGATTTTGATGTTAGCTTTTACAAACCCTCAGTATTTCACATATTATACAGCCTGTTTCACAAATTTGTAAGAATATTTACAAGTAGGATGCTTATCTCCTTCCCTCTTTTAACTGTTTTTGTTCACCCAGTGTTTGAACGTCATGCGTGTGTTGTGCCATGTTCTGCTGTTTGTCCCTTTAGGGATTGCCTGGTCTCCCTACGCTGGCTGCTTTGCACAGCAATCAGATCCTGACTGTCAAGGTTTGTCGGTGGTGGTGCCGCCGAGCTGCTCAGTCCGACCCCTCCGCAGCACACACTGGGAGTAAATGAATCACTGTCTGCTGCTTTTTGCTTAAAGCCCGATGATAGACTAGGCACAGGAAAAAACCCCATCTAATTAATCACAGCCAGTCAATCGTTATCCTCTTCCCCCACGGCCGCTACCAGTCTTTCACTTGAGATTTCTGTTCCACGCTTCATGCCAGGTTCCCTATTGAAGGCAAAGGTGGCCTTTTACAACCCCGTAATATGTAGCTGACTGGAACAAGAAGACATGGTCTGGCTTGTGTCCATTGATGCTAAAGTAAATGGAAGGAACTCCAAGAGGAATCCTCAATGATGAACCAAAGTGGCAAAATGTTTTTTTAAAGCTCATGCCCATGGTTCACCACAAATCCTTCAATCCACCAATTTGGCCTCAGGGATTAAGGATTGTTTCAGCGATGGATGAAGCCACTTAATACCAATGGACACTAGCAGAATAATGCATGCATTGAAAGGAACAAGGTTAGAAATCAACCTCAACTCAGAAGGTCGACCGCGCTGGTTTCAGTGTGTGCAGCCCCCGGGGTCTGACTTAGTAGCAGGCGCAATGAAGATGATGACAGCGCTTTCACAGAGGAGGAGAAATTCCCATTTTTCCGGGGACTGCGAGCCCACTGTGGCGCCCTCGCACCCCTGAGGTGGTAATTATGGGTCCCGGCTCCAAGTAAAAAAGCCCAGACTTCCGAAGCAAACCACCTCCGTGCTGGAAAAGTGTGGATTTCTCCCCCTCACCCGTGAAGGCGCTGGATCAGGGGTTCATGAACACAGGCCTTTCTAACAAAATCTGTTTCTTTTTGCATTTGCTTTCCTCCTTCTCCTTCTTCTTCTGGGACTTCATCCTTCTTCAACCTTCTCTCACCTCTGACCTACGACCTCTTGACCTCACACACCTGCTCAGATGGTCTTCCCTAAGATCAATCATGGCTTTCTTTCCGCTGACCAGCAGCTCATAAAGCGGCGGCTCATTAAGGTAGTGGCTGTGTCCTCACTCGTCTCTCTGTCGTGCCAAGTCTCACCGAATCACTTCTCTCTGGGCATCCTGCAGTTTGCATGCAAATCTTCAGACAGACCTGTCACAAGCACTCTTATACTCCTTCTGTTATTGTTAAAGAGAAATATGGAATTTTCTTTTTTGAAAACAAGGTTTTATTAAGGTAAAATGAATTACTGTCCTGGCACTACTTAAAGCACATTCCCTGCTAGTTAGATTGCTGAATATTTTTTGTAGAGTTTCTTATAATCCAGTGTAATAATGGACCACACATTTGCAGTGTATTTTTGCCGTAATTATTGGAACTCTACCGATGTGACTTTTCAGTCGGTGCCTAATGCACAACCTCTATTCAACCCATTAAGTCCATTTAGGAATGCGTGCATTTCAGAGGATTACTGTTTCAGCTGTAAATCAGATACATTTCAGCTCCATCTTGTACGCTAGCTGTGGCCATATGACCCAAAATGCAAACTCTCCTCCATGTTATGAATGGAGGCAGCCCATAGCCACCCACGACATCATTCCACTACTCTCTCTTCATTATCATTTAACTGCAGTGGCTCCAGTCTCCAGTGGATCCAACAATATCACAGCGTTCTGATGTTTGAATGTGTTATTTTGCCTCACAGGGAGATCAAGGACAAGCTGGACCACCTGGGCCTCCAGGGCCACCGGGTCCTCCAGGGCCAAGGGGGCCTCCAGGGGACACCGGGAAAGACGGGCCCAGAGGTGTACCAGGTCTACCAGTGAGTATTGATTTTCACCTGATATCTGAGGAAGTTTGTTAAACTGCTAAAAGATTTGCATTTTAATGGTGTTGGATCTGTAAAATTTTGTGGGTTTTCCCTTTAAAAAACACTGCATTGTTTCCATTACAGTAAAACAACATCAGCTTTTTATGTACTTGTATTCAATTTGATTGTGACCCAATTGCCAGGAGGGTTTATCCCAACGAAAACCTTCTAATGAAGACTAGACAAACTATGATGCAGTTCATTGCCCTAATGTCTTCAGCTAAACATATATATGCTCCCAAGAGAATGCCTCCCTGTATGGATTTACATTAACTTGGTTGTTTTTCATTATAACGTAACATTTTCCACATCTTTAAGCCTGTCACTGGCATCACACTAATTTATGTGCACTGCCTGTGAGAGAAAGGAGAAACAGAAAAAGGCCTGTCAATTATGCTCAGCCATAAAACCTTTCCGAAGGGCTCCAGCTGATCTTTATTGTCTTGGCAGAGTTCACAGTGGGAGTGCAAAAATATTAAGTGTTGTTTATCTGCTTCTTTCCAAGTTTTTGATGATTATTGTTTTCAGCTCTTCCAGTTGCAGTTGCAATCCTTGTTGCGTTTTTCCAAGAAATTAAACTTCTCTCGCTGGGGTGCTTTATTTCTCCCATGATTTGCTTCTCCTGCCGTGAATCCCTCAGAAGGAAGGTGGTAAAAACGGTCCTGTAGCTATCACAAAGAGGCAAAAATGGAATAATGTTCAAGCGTGTCTTTGGCATACAAATCTGGCCATGGCATATGTCTCTTTGCTACCCTGAGAACTGTAGGAACATCCAAGAGCCAGGCGTGAACCGAAAGCAGAGAGTAGAACAGGGTTGTTGGACGAGACAGTGAAGGGTACAGGTGCCACAGCATGATGAAATGCCTCCCAGCCAACTTGGTGTATGAGCAGAACAATGCTGAGCTCTGCTTGGCAACCTGGCCCCGATGCACCATAGCGGCTGTTAAAAGAAATGGGGAATTCAACCATGATGTGGAAAACACTGTATTTTTTGCCAGAATATTTGAGTTGTTTAACTCAAAATAGTGTTTATGATCATTTTTAAACTCCATGCATGTTCTCAACTTTGCAGAGAATTCTTGAGCCACGTGCTTTCCAATTAATTGACTGTTTTGTATTTATGTAGGGTGATCCAGGGCAGCCTGGAGAGACGGGAGTCATGGTAAGCACAAACTTTTCCTTTCTGGTTGTATGTACGTTTCAGCTTCTGTCTGAATGAAACAAATGAGATATGACTTGTTAATTAGTGAGCTTTAGAGGTGCTCGTAGGTTTTGTTCCCAGCGGACAAAGCCAGACAAGCTTGTTCCCTCTGTTTCCAGTACTTATGCTAAACCGACTAACAGCCTGTTGGAAGTAGTTTCATATTTACCATGCAGATATGAGTATTTCATCAGTCTTCTCAACAAACTTGTACCCCTTTGAATGCTAAAAGAATCCGGAGATGTAAAACCCTTCAGTATGGCTCATGCCATCTGCAGGCAGGTTGTAGTATTTAGGAAGTTGCTGAATAATTCTTTGACTTTCATTTTAATATCTTTTTCCACTGAATTATCAGCCTTTACTGACTTACTGCCTTTGCTACACTATGCAGTCACTATAACGGTGTCCTAATTTGGCTCAACTAGAAAAATGAACTCAGTAGAGTGCTGATATCTGCCAATCTCACCTCAGCGCGGCCACTCTGGATGATTCTTGTAATTCTAGCAGACGTGCCGTTAAGAGAAGTGAAGAGTCAGGAGTCAATAGCCTTTTTTAGATAGGAGTTGTGCAGATTTGGAGAGAAGCCCAATCAGTCTTTTTTCACTATTGGCAGTGTAAAAACAAAATCGGGGAGTGCAGCAAAATGCCGCCTACCTACTTTTGTTTATACAGAATGCGCCTTTTTCGGGCCAATGGGGGGCGTGAGCAAATAACAAAACATGTAGCTCAGCGTGTGACATAACCAGTGACGTGGAGGGAAGCCGCGGCTAGTCAGTCCTTCAGTGATTCTCTCGTAAGTCGGCCCGTTCTTCACCATTTCTGTCATCTGACGGTTAATGGCCTCTTCATTTGCAAAGACAAGGAGAGCGCTCAATTCTTTGTCTCCCCAGTTGCTCATCTTAACAGTGTCTGTCAGGTTTGCGTTTCCCTTTTGCTACTAGCTGCTTGCTAATTCCTGCTATCAGCTGTTTCCTGTTTATCCACCGCCAGTGACTCGCATGTGCAGCGTCATCAACAGCTCCTCCCACAAGTCTTCAACAGCCCCTCCCGTTGCGGAAGGCCGCCTCGTTCTGTTTAAGCTAAAAGGGTTCCGCCAATACGTCTACCCTACGAGGCGGAAAATTGGGCACCTCGGATCAACTCGCCAATCCCGCTCTGTGTGTCTAAACGCTCGCAGCTTGCCAGCAAAACGGCCCAACATTCGTGGAAAATCTGGCAGTGTAAAAGGGGCTAATGACGGTACAAAACAGACATTAAAACAGATTTTCCAACAAATGGGAATCACCACAACTAAGAGAGGTACTTCAGCATAGTCATAAAGGTGCACTCAAAATAATAGGCTTATTGGTCCAGTAGTTTGCGAGATTAGCTGCAGACAGACAGATACATAAACTCACACACATGACCAAACATAATGGGGATCATCAGTGTTGTTTGTTGTTTTTAATAAGAAATTGTGATGCTCTCAAAAACACATTACATCTATTTTAATTTAGCTGTTCATCATAGTAATCATGCCATTTAGGATGTTTTTTTTTTTTAAGTGCACTTAATTTACGAGGTATTCATAAGGCAGTTTATGGGTAATATGGTGAATATTAATGACACATTTTATGATACCCTGCAAAAACGTTTGTTTTTTCTCACAAACGCCCTCATACAGTAGGGACAAGCTGTTCCAGTTAACAGCAACTGGATACCACTTGTGGTGTTCAGCAAATAAAGCATTTGATTAAAGTTTCCTCATAAAAGCTACATTGAATAGGTCAAGCCAAATTCCAGAGAAAGCAAAGACGGAAAACGTGACATGCGAAAACACTCGGTGATGTCAGCTTTCACAAGTGCAGGGGAGAGTAAGTGAAGCTGACAGAGGAGGTGCTATCAAGCGCTTTCATCTCTGATTCCATCTCTGACCCTCTCCATGGCATGGAAAAAGTTGGTGGATTGGAAAGGAATGGACGGAGAAAATAAAGGGTGGCGACACTTAAGCGGCGAGAGAGACGCATTAACTAGAGTAAGAGGAGTTTAAAGCTAAAATTGCTAATTGTTTATAGGTCACTTAACATGCACTTAACTCTCTGTCCTCTTTGTGCTTTTATGTTGTTGAAGTTTTCAGCTTTTGTTGGCTTTAATTATATGTTTTAGCCATTATCCCACTTGTGCTCATAGCTGTGAAAGCAGCACGGTTTTGTTTCTAAATTCATACTGTCATGAATGTAAAATCATTTCCCAGTGGTCCCAGGTGAGTTCCCATAAGTCTCCGGTGCTTATACAACTGCTCATGACAGCAGCTGGAATATTTCTCCAAAAGACAAATGGTGAATCCCATTCAAAATGAGCTCAGAGGCCTCGTGCCGAGCTTTGAATAAAAAATAAGCGCTGCTCCCTGTAATTCTTGAAATAAGGCATACTATTTCATGAGTATATATACACAGCAGACTCCAAATGGGCATTTGCAAGGGGTTAGTTATTTCTTTTGCAAATCAATCCTTCCCCCCCCCCCCCCCCCCCCCCCCCCCCCCCCATAAAGCAGCGTGAGATGAGCAGGTCCCAGAGGTCGTTAAAACATGTGATGTGACATGGCCGCTCAAACACAGTGGACTTTCAGAGCTTCTGTTTCCAGCCAACAGCAGTTTGTTTGCTACTCTTTGGAGGGGGAAAAAAAGCGAAGATAAGATAATGGATCAGAGAGAAAAGTTTCTGTAAATGATAATTTGGGCTGTTAAACCACTGGAGAGGGAATAAAAAGAAATTCTCCATCCAGAAACAAAACACCAGCCTGCACCCTTGATTGGCCTTTGAAAATCAATATGAATTAGATGTGCATAAGCTACTAGACCGATAGGCTCCACTTTGTGCAACAAGCTGAAAGGATAACCTTTGATCGGCACTTTTAGATCTGCACAAGTCAACTCGAGGTAGGGATTTTGAGGTCGAGCCTTAACCAACTTTTTTGCTACTTTTACGGTGCTCTAGGAGCTAGCGCCCACTTGACACAGCTCAGCGTTTTTGATGTAGATGCTATTGTTAAGGAGGCAAAAGTAGATTCCAGAGTTTTCCAGCAGCCTTCCAGGACATATGGTGCTGGTTAGAAGGATTAAGCTCTTGTGGAGCAACAAGGAGGAGGGGGGAGGTGGGAAGAAGAAAAAGAAGAAGAAAGAGGAAATATTTTCAGGACTCAATTCAAAACCATCAGTGCCATAAGGTCTCTCTGGTAAATTAAAGGGGGTCTTCAGCTCACTAAAGGTGGCTTGCAGCCTTGCACACAGTTTTCATTTGGGAGTTGATTTTGCTCCAGAAAGACTAAATAAGAAAACCAGTGGCGTATTGTATGTTGTGTTTCATCCGCAGCTTAAAAAAATGTTCTGCTTTTTGGTGTTATTTTTAATTTTGATGCAGAATTTCGCAGCTCCTCTTCTACATCCTTTTCATTCCATAACTACCCACAATTCTCCAGTGACTCACCTTATTTGTTGCAATGCACAACAGGCATGCATGTAGGGATGTAATTTACTTAATATGCCTGTATAATGAGGACATACCTATAATATTTTGGTGTCCTTGACTAAGTTTCCTTTTAATGTGAAGCCAAAAATGAGGAACAAAGATGTGAGTAAATGGCTCAGGACATGCTCGGTGGACTCAAACAATGTTGCGGCGAATGTTGACATCAATAGGCAACAAGGTTTTTCTTTCAGTGGAACAAATCTGTTCGTTATTAAAGAATTTTTTTCTTCTTTTTTTTTCTTTTTACAACCTGGGTCTTACTGTCATCATTTTAAGAGGAATGCCTACAGACAAGGCCATAATCCAGATTTTAGAAATACTGGGTTAATTAGGTTGTGCTCACTGCTCAGGAGCTGCTGATGGAAAGTAGTGATATTGTACCTAAATCTGGCTCAAAGCATCTCTTCACTTTTGCTGTTTGAGTTTAGAGCTCAAACAATAAATAACTAATCAACTGACCAAAATGTCATTCAATCTCGTCAATTATTATTTGCAGTGCGATTTGAAAATAAAGGTTTTTGTACACAGTCCCTGACAATTAATTTAATAAGATGTAAATTTGAAATATGGTTTGTAAGTCCAAATTTCCCCTAGATCAGTGGTTCCAACTGGTGCAGCAACAGGGTCCAGATTTCTCCTTTGTGATTTGTTCAAGGGCCACAAAGTTTAATATATTCAGCGTCATACTTGCATTTGGCCATGTCACTGAGCTAGTTTGCTGCCTCTGGTAAATAGATGTCCGTTATTCACTCACTCTGCGACAGGAAACAGCACTTCAAAATAAAAGCTTGTGCCAGAAATTCACTATACTTAAAGTAATTAAAAAATAATTAATTAATTAATTAATTAATTAATTAATTAATTAAAAATAAAGTGTTTTTACAAACTTGACTTGTTCCCGAGTCACTTGCGGTCCATTTAGAATGGACCTTCGTGGTCCAGAAGTGGGTCGAAGGTCCCTGGTGGTGACCCACCAGTTGGGAACCACTGGTCAAGAACATAGTTGCCCAAAGTACGCCCCACTGGCCATTGGTGGCCCTCAAACATTTTGTGTGACCCCTGAACGTGGCATGAAATGCATGCATTATAATATAATCACCTGTGGTCTATTCCACTTTCAACAGCTTATATGTAATACACTGGTCGTGGTTGGCCACTAACAAGCTTCTGTCAGGTTAGGAATGACAACCTGATGAAAGCTACTGATTGACACTTCATGAGGATCAATAACTACCTTCTGCCGTCAGTGCTACTGCTTTTAGCTAAAGTTAGCGATTTCAATCAACAACTCTCAATCACATGCTGGCTCCCTCAGTTGGCACTCGGTCATCAAAACTTCAAGAACTCCTTCTTGGTAAAACCTGCCAGAGGAACTCCTTAGAGTTACCAAGCACTGTAAAATTTCTTTCTCTATATTTTGGTTTACATTTTGTTTAAAAATATTTAGTCTGAATAATATCAGAATCAGCTTCAAGACGATATCTGCAATGTGTGTTATTACGTATTGTAATGTGTATTAAAAATATTAGGAAGAACGTGACTCAGAGACCTAAGTGGTTACTACAACACCTACTGCCTATAGGTTAACGTAATACTGTAGTCAACCAACCATAGACTGTATAATAAAGATGGACTACATGACAGCTCCCCAAAAGTGAAGCCAAATTACCATGATCGCCCCCTGGTGGCTGGCTCCATGTTAGCAGATGGGACATGGGCCAAACTAAAACATCAAGTGCGTGTCAAATAAATTTTTCCCAGGAATGGTTTCAGTCATCTTTGGTAGTTCCTGTCACGTTGATGTTTGTTCAAGTGTTGGTTTTGCTAATAAGTTTGATTTGAGTTAGTTATTTGATGTTATAAAAAGGGGATGTGACATCACGATTGACAGCTTTGTGTGTCAATCAGTGTGCTTGAGATCAGTGGCACAGCTCGTGATTGTTGATGTGTGTATGGGCAGTGCATGATGGCAGCGGCTGTATCTGGGGTATTTTGGCTTTATTTTCGTACAGTAGGAGGAAGTGAAGATGCATTATCCATGCAACAACAGTCTCTGTAGTCAACACTATCATTGTGGATAATATAGACAAATACACTTCACTGGAAACTGGAATCCAGTGAGAGTCAAGATAATTCAATGCATTTCACAGCTATTCTTAGATAAAGTTTTCGGTTGATTGGGTGGTCTGTACAGTCAGTGTGTGCCATATCCTTGCTAGCTGCTGTTTTGTTTACAGTAGTAATAGCAGTAAAGCTAGTGTGATTAAAAGGTCTGACAAAATGAAAAGCCACGTAGGCAGTTTAAATAAAGCACACAATCATTACAGTGATGATGGTGAGTTATGCTAACCTATAGCTACACTGGTCAAACTTAAGACAATAAGACCCCGGTTGTAACAAAATAAATTCACTTTAAAGTGGAAAGCACCTTAAATAGGAGCATTATATTGCACAGCTTTTTCAAAGACCTTCTAAGTGAAACAGAAGCTTTGAACAAAGGCTCTTAACCTCCACTCCAAAGCTCTAACATGAAGCTTTACTGAGGTTTGATCAGCCCAAATATTATTTTGTGGATGCTGAGCGAGAAATGCACACTCTCGAGGTTCTTCAAGTGGCTGAGGGTTCAACTGCAGACTGAGTGTGGGAATTGACCTGGCAATCGCTTCATTGTTTGTTATTTCCGAGTCATGAATGAAAGCAGCAGTCATTCAGCGCTTTGTATTTGAGCTCGGATGCTCGACTTCAATAGGAGCCCTGTTGGTATTGCGCATTTGTGGATTCCTTTTCTTTGTCAGGGTGAAATGAGGCAGCTAAAGTGCGATATGCTGAGCATGTGCTGTCATGATGAATACTTTAAGCTGAATTATCTATTCTAATGAAAATGTTTGGATTATTTTACATTTTAATTTCCCAGTTATGTTCGGGCTCCAAAGTTGAGAACAAAAGAGCCAGGACCAAGACTTCCTCAAGAGCTCTTGACTCTGTGAAAAAATCTCCTTTTCAGCCAGTAGCTCCTGAGTGCTCTCAGATGTAGCCAAGCTAATTAGCGCTCAGGCGAGTGGCACATGCTCTCACATACCTAGTAGGTCATAAAGATGTTTACCAAACCCTACTGAGGACAGCCAACAAAGGCTTTTAAAGGCAAGCGGGAGGAAAACCTTTTTCTTGGTCGGCTGGGATAATGAAAGTTGTTCATTGAGGTTTTTGTTATAAGTGCAGATGGAATGCACTATAAATGAGCTGCAACTGTGTGGGCCGTTTCTGTAAATGTGAGAACTTGTTGCTGCAGGGATTTTAACAGGCTAACTCTGTGAAAATGGAAATTCAGAATGGGAAAGTTTGGAGCGTCAGTTATTCGGTCATCAACAAGACCCAAACAAGATAATGGAAAGCTCGAACAAACAGTTTATTCTCAGAAAATTGGCCGTCATTATGGTCCTTTTAGCGACGCCAAGCATCCGTTGGTGCTTTGGCCACAAGGCGTTAAGTTGGCCACCACCAGTCTACACTTCTTCTTCACAGAAATTTGCACTGACAGTCAAACTTGTCGACCTGAATGTGTCCTCGCTGGCTGCTTTTGAATACAGGCACACAAGCCTTTTACGCTCATCAGGGGACTGAATCTTAGGTGCTGCCAATTATACTGCATCAACACGAATAAAGCGAGGAAAGCTGTTGTTGCAGAGGGCTTGCGGGGTATAAGGTCTGCCTGGCTTCAACTCAGCCAAGAGTGATGAGCCAAATAGCACCATTTGCCGTAGATCCTGAGCCGACAGTGAGAAAAATGTTGGCCACCATGAGGTGTCGTAACAGCCAAGCAGAAAGGTGTTGATGAACTGCCGTGGGTACTGCAATAGTTCAGAGTCTTGTGGAGCCAACATGGAAGAAACTAACTTTCAGCTTGGTTTCTCATTTTAGTCGTAAAGCAGTTGTGCAGGTTCTGGTGGATGAGTGTTGAGCGCCTGACATGGCGTCCGATTTCACTGTGGTAAACAGCAGGTTGAAAATAGAAACTGTTCTCCCAGACACATCTATCACTGAGTTAAATCTCAGTTCGAGATGTGGCGCCTTTTTTGCCCTAACTTATTAGCTTTGTGAGGATTTCCAGCTATTGGCCCATTTAGGTTATGAAGCTCTCTGTGTGTTGGACTGTTGAATGTGGAAGCCAAACAAGTTTTTTACAGTCGCTTAAATGAATAAAAAAAAGATTAACTTAAAAGCAAAAAAGTTTTTGTTATTCATGGTCTCATTAGAGATTAATGTTTATGATGAAGCTCAACGAAAAGAAAGCGCAGAGTGATTTCCATTCTTCATCGAAGGATAAAACAAGGGATTGATTGTGATTCGGTTCTGCCCGAAGGGTGTGTACTCACAGTATGAAATCCCACCAGAAGCCCTGCCAGTCTGTCTACTGTGACCGTGTTGCCTGTGGAAATTATATTATTTCATCAGACATGGACTCTTTTTGTTCTCTTTCTCTTCCACTCACTTTCTCTCTCGCTTTGTCTCTCTTTTTATTTATAGGGACCTGAGGGGCCACAAGGGCAGAAGGTAAGTGCGGAGAATGATTTATAGTCCCACTGACTTTTCTTACCTTTCTTTTGAATTAAACAAAATGAGATTCTCTGACTTAGTCATCAACTGAATGACATCAAAAATATATTTCACATTGAAAAGCTTTTAATTCTAATGTAAAGCAAAAGATTTCTTTAGAATAATGTCTTGGATTTGATATTAACCGTGCACAAGTTGCGTAAATGGCTTAAAAAAAAGAAAAAGTGCTGGGTGTTGAATGCGTCTACTTGGAGATTAGTGACGCAGGGCCACAGTCAGGGTAAGTAAATAGACAAGAGGAGAGTTAAGGCTCGAACAACATGAGGAGGGAAAGAAAAAGAGACAGAGAACAGAGAACCCGGAGCTAAGTACTGCGATACAGGCCGCGGGTCCCTGGCGGCGCTGATGTGGGGAACAGATGTAAGCCATATCCAGCCATCAGGTAGCTGCCAGTGTTTGTTCAGTGTAACCCAATCAGACACTTCCTGTCTGCGCTGTCATCTGTCGGCAAGGCCTCCCATCAGCGTGGGAGGGGGTGTGCGGAGGGGTCAACGATGACACACCGCCGTGTTAATGACTCATAAGCCAGGCCCCGAGGCTGCTCAATTAGATCTACTGCGGGTGTAGCGCGGTGTTTAGCAGAGGGGCCACGTCAACAGTTATTCATGTTTCACCACCTTGCTGATTGATTTGGTGTCACTACATGATAAAAGTGTGAATCATATACTTGAACATATTCTATCAACTTTCACTCAGTCATGTGATACATTCTCCTTCATCCTGAGAAATATCCTGGATGTATAAGACATGATAAAATAGTTTTTTTCATTGTGTCAAGCCTATGTTTCACTCATCTCTGATACATCTATAAATGTGACCGTGGTAAAAGTAAGTCATTTTTATTACAGAGCAGCTCAAATAGCCAACGTAAGCAAACCGCTCTGCAAGAGAGTGGGAGCTCATTAAAACATGCTTACTACAACCACAGAGTCTAAATCATCTGCTTTAAGTATATTAAAGAAGTGCATGCAAACATAAGAGCCACAGTACATACTATATAAAGACTCTCAGTTTGCAATTTAGCAGAACTATTCTCAACTCCGAGTCTTGCCCTGTACCTGTATCATCCATAACTTAGCAGATCTTAGAATATGGCATGCAAATGTGTATTGTGGGAATGGGAACTATACACCGGCCTGTTGTGTCGACCTTTGAAAGTAGTTTTGTTGATTACAATTCTTTCAACATCTTTCTTTGCGGTGTTGCGTCCTCTGGGAGATGATTTACATTGTCATATTTGAAGTTTTGACAACCATAACTCTGCAGTGTAACATGCTTTCAGGTTTTTGCGAACGAAACACAGTGTGATTGTTTAGTGTAATGTAACACATAAAGGCCTTTGCGTTTATTTCTCAGGGTTCAATCGGGCCTCCTGGCATCCCAGGTGTTGATGGACTGAAGGTGAGGTCACTCATATAAGCAGACACATTACTATCCCCTACTTTTTTGCTGTTATTTGTACTAATTTAGACTAGTTTTAGTAACGGATCATTTATCTTATTCAGTTGTAAAATTGTATTTTTCAGAGAAAAGGTTGAAAAATCCAGGTGATCATTTTAGAATTAAACAGGTAGATTTGCCTGGGAAACATGATGTCGTTTCACTTATTAATAAAAAAAACAGGTTCAAGACTCAGTAAGCTGTCTTGTTCAGATGGATACTTCTAATTTTGCAGCAAATTCATCATGCCGAACTGTTTCAGTTACATCGAGCAGCCCCTCTAAATTTAGCCTCAACATGGTATAACGCTTCCCTCACAAAGTACTACACATAAAAAAAGTTCAGAGAGCTGTAACTTCCATCCACACCTGAAAGTATTTTATCTTCAAAAGACTCACTTTAACATACTTAGCGTTTTCATTAGTCTTTTTGGCCACATGTTGCACTTTTCATATTAGAAAAGTTCTGCCATGCATTCTGACAATTTCAAACCGCCATCCTATTTGGGAGAAATCCCCTGGGCTGCATCCTCAAGTCTTAACCACAAAGTGCCGTTTCGAGTAGCCTGCGAATCTGCTCACACTCTCGGCCCATTTCTGCATTTCATTCTCAAAGCGAATAAAGGAGACACAGTGCAGGTGTTTCACAATGGGGGAAAATGGAAAGGCATATTTATTCCAGAGCAAACGACGGCATGAGTGACGAGAATGAATGGGGAGATGATTTGAGAGGCGCCATCTTTCTAATCTCAAGCATGCATTTATAAAGATATGAGCGGAGAGGCACGCATGGCTGTAATAGAAACCAGAGTGAAAGCCATACTGACTCTGGAGACAGCAAAAGCTGAAGGCCTAATTCCATACTTGTGTAAGGAGTGGGGCTTGCCAGCATGAAATAGAACTCCAATGCTGTGCAATGCAGTTATAAAAGAGAATCTGTTATGGTATGTAGCTGTCACTCATGCAGAAAGTTGAAGTCCGAAGCAGTAAAGGCTGCTCTGCCAGCAGTGGCAGGTTGACTGGCAGACATCTTATTGATCTGACATAGATATCCACTGAAAAGGGCTGATTACTAATGCAAACCTTATCAGCCCCAGTTTAGGAGTTTTTAATCAGACTCCATCATCATTACGGCAATATATCATCATAATTATGTCAATGACTCCCATATGTGGGCTGATAGATGATACACGTTTCCAGCAGTTATGAAGATGTTCACCACTAGTGTGTAGCTGAGGGGATACTCCCTAAACACAGATCATACACACTGATATTGTCACAATTCTTCATGAAACAGAGCATTGTTAAAAAAAAAAATCAAGGTTTGTTACCATAATGAAACAAAAGAACATCCAGTAACCCAGTGTTCCTTGGAAAATGGTCAGTATCCAACAGCCCATTGACATGTAATTTAATTTAAATAATAGATTACTTTATTCTCCATCCTGGCTACATTAAAACTACAGATGGTGGCTTTTATGAAAATAACTTTGTGAAACTGTCACTATATTCTGAAAGAAGTACATGAGACAAATAATCTTGAGGAAGAAAATCATGCTCCTCTGCCTCTTTGAGAGTAGGTGTAACTGCAGCTGGAGCAGCTACATTACCCACCCACCATACCTACACATATGACCACAATTAGCCCCATTAGCTCTTTGGCCCAGGGGCGGAAGTCCCGACGAAATTGCTAAGTTAGCGTTTAGCTAGCTATGAAGTATTACGTTAAAAGAGAGGTGGTTCAAGTTAGGGTAAGGGTAAGGCTACATCTCATTACTTATGCTATGCTAACGAGTAGCTGACATTAGCTATTAAGTATTACGTTAAAAGAGCGGTGGTTAAAGTAAGGGTATGGCTACATCTCATTACTTATGCTATGCTAATGATTAGTTGACACTAGCTATGAAGTATTACGTTAAAAGAGAGGTGGTTAAAGTAACAGTATGGCTACATCTCATTACTTATGCTATGCTAACGATTAGCTGACACTAGCTATGAAGTATTACGTTAAAAGAGAGGTGGTTAAAGTAAGGGTATGGCTACATCTCATTACTTATGCTATGCTAACGATTAGCTGACATTAGCAATGAAGTATTACATTAAAAGAGACGGTTAAAGTAAGGGTATGGCTACATCTCATTACTTATGCTATGCTAACGAGTAGCTGACATTAGCTATGAAGTATTACGTTAAAAGAGAGGTGGTTAAAGTAAGGGTATGGCTACATCTCATTACTTATGCTATGCTAACGATTAGCTGACATTAGCAATGAAGTATTACATTAAAAGAGACGGTTAAAGTAAGGGTATGGCTACATCTCATTACTTATGCTATGCTAACGAGTAGCTGACATTAGCTATGAAGTATTACGTTAAAAGAGAGGTGGTTAAAGTAAGGGTATGGCTACATCTCATTACTTATGCTATGCTAACGATTAGCTGACATTAGCTATGAAGTATTACGTTAAAAGAGAGGTGGTTAAAGTAAGGGTATGGCTACATCTCATTACTTATGCTATGCTAACGATTAGCTGACATTAGCTATGAAGTATTACGTTAAAAGAGAGGTGGTTAAAGTAAGGGTATGGCTACATCTCATTACTTATGCTATGCTAACGATTAGCTGACATTAGCTATGAAGTATTACGTTAAAAGAGAGGTGGTTAAAGTAAGGGTATGGCTACATCTCATTACTTATGCTATGCTAACGATTAGCTGACATTAGCTATGAAGTATTACGTTAAAAGAGAGGTGGTTAAAGTAAGGGTATGGCTACATCTCATTACTTATGCTATGCTAACGATTAGCTGACATTAGCTATTAAGTATTACGTTAAAAGAGAGGTGGTTAAAGTTAGGATAAGAGTAAGGCTACATCTTGTTACTTATGCTATGCTAACAATTAGCTGACATTAGCTATTAAGTATTACATTAAAAGAGAGGTGGTTAAAGTTAGGGTAAAGGTAAGGCTACATCATGCTATGCTAACGATTAGCTGACATTAGCTATGAAGTATTACGTTAAAGGAGAGGTGGTTAAGGGTAGGATAAAGGTGATGGTAGAGGTTACATCTCGTTGCCTAAGTGAATCATGCCTACGTTTATTATGAATTATGAATAAGATTATTGCTACATTTGGTCTACAGTGTAGCATAGTAGCGTGGTTCAGATAGCTGTCGCATTGGTGGGTTTGTCTTGTTATAGTGGTGGGCGCAGTTTGTAATAAAATGTGTCTGCAGCTATGAACGTCCACCTCTGTGTAGTGCTTTTGCAACCATAGTGCACCAAAAACAACCAATCACAGCTGAGGACTCTCTCACACAGCTGTCAGTCGTGCCATTCACAGTTTGTGTGCTGTCAAACTGCCAAACTAGGCAGCGCTGATCAACTACGAATCAAGATTCTGTTACTGCATTGCCTACATTTTTAGAAACATTGTTTAGTGTACTGTTTAGCTGTGAATTGAGAAAGTTTGTGAGCACTGACCACCAGCTAAACCGTATGCTAAAATAAATCACCGTTAGGGGCTTGAGTGTAATTTTTTCCTCACTGATTATGTGAATATCGAGACAGTTTCAGCAAATATGAAAAATTCTGGGGGGTTTTTTAAATAAAAGTTATCAGTTACAGCTTTAATTCAGTTAAAGTTGTCTCTCTGGTTTGAGGAATATCTGCTTCTCTTTTAAAAAGCTAATGATGTGGTAGGTTTGCAAAGGTCAGGAGGTTAATTGTTTTTGGCAACAGACGGACGGAGGTTGGTTTCTCAGTGGCGTCCGCAGAGAGCAGGGATTCAGGCTCACACTAACAGCGAGCTGGCATTCATCAGATGGACTTGGCTTTCTTCTTTTGCTCATGTTCAGAACCCAACCAGAGATAATTAAGCTTTTAATCAGCCTGTTTATCCTCTCTACTTTAAGATTAAGTTTCTGGTTTCGAGATTTTATACTTCAGAGCTTTCTTTTTTTTTTTAATTGTGTGGAATTTATTCAGTTGTAGCTGTACAATATGTGGAGAGTCCATTTCTTGCAAAATAAATACCGATAAATACACTGTGTGTCCTATCTACTGCTTCGTTATCCTGCAAATGCATAACACCTGTCTACTGACACCAACTTAACCTTGAGGTTAGAGGTTATCACTATTTAATGAAAAAAAGCTTTTTGTATCTCCTGACCTTAAATCAGAGTTCACACTGCTGAGACAGCACACTGAATACAGCCACTGTGTGTCTGTTATGCTGTCCATAGGGGGATGTTGGCATCCCAGGATTTGACGGTGTCCCCGGAATCAAGGTCTGGTGCACACATATTCTGTGTGCTCTAATTCTTGTCACTTAATGGCCATTGTATTTTTTAATTTTCCTTGTTTTGAAGTCATTTCTAATTTTTCATACTTTCCCATTTAAGAGGTTTTCTCTTCTTTTTCACTTTTGGACATTTTTGCCTCTTTTTTTCCTTATACTTCTTTTTATACATCTTGTTTTCCATTCTTCTTTAGAGGACATACATGTACACATCTTTTCATTCGTCTTTGCTGAATGTGATGTTATCATGATCTGAATTTGCCAATGTTTGAATAAGTACACTTCATAGCAGATATCCATAGGTGTGATTAAATGTGATAATGGTACCTACATATAGGTTTAAATTAATTAGATCTGTGGTGAAATATCATTGTAAGTAGGATTCTGGCCTGCTAATATTGACAACTTTAAGTAATGACAGTGCAAGTTTTAGGAATATTTCAAAATCCGATAGTGGAGGGTCTGTCTGGGGGCAAAAGCAGCCATAACACAAGAGAACATCCGTAATCTAACATGAATTTAACCCCAGATACTATCTGACCCTTAGTGGCCGCAATAATTCCCCAACTGAACCCAACTCCCCCTGAGCTTTTCTGTGTTTAACACTCTGCTTTCTTTCCCAACAGGGTGAAATGGGAGAGCGAGGTGAAAAGGTAAAGTGCTAATTCAGATCACCAAACATTATTGTTAGCATCAGTCTTGATATCTCACCATGTGTCAGAACAGCCGCCGTGACGGCAGCTCTGCCTCTGACTTTTACACAACTCCGGCTTGTTTTTTCAAAGGTGACACCCTTCTGAGATTTGGCCGTCAGTGAGTCAGTGATTCAGTGAGTCACAAAATTGAACCCAATTTCTCCCAAGTCCAGGCCTTGGAGGAGACCAAGAAACAGAACCCACACAATAGCCTCAGTGATGAAAAGCAGCCTTATTCTCTCCATTCCCTAATTCTAATGGTGCCCTTATTCGCTGTTGTTGGACAGCCGCGGGTGGGAGGTGCGAATGCTGACGGAGTCGGAGCGAGACAGCATGGGGAGGGAGGTGATGACTCAATGTTCTTCATCGACCACAAAACTGGCCTTCAGGCACTTGCTCTCTGTTGTTGTTCTGAGTTTTTCTTCAAATCAGAGACATATTCCAGATCATTAACGCACCTGATTCACTGTAATAATGAGGCCGCGCGGCCACATAGCCAATCTCCTAGCAACAACCACTCACAGCATCACGGGTGTCCTGCGGAGAATGGATGCAAATAATGGCTTAATTTACAGTTATAGAAACTGCATTAGAGGAAATTGCCTTGGCTTGAGTTCAGGTCAGTCAGGTTCAAGTGAGGCTGAGATGTCTTTTCTTGGCCTTGTCACAGGTTGCATGTTTATGAGCAGTCTAACTAAAGAGAGATGTTCCATTCAAAAACTGTTTTCATAAGCATGAAAAGGGGAACCTAATTGTTATTTAATAGTAAAAACACAAATATTAGACAGAATAAACCATCGCTGTGGCGGGATATGTTTAATATCTTATTCCCAATCTTTTGAATCATGTTGAGTCTCTTTCCTCAGGTTGGGAATCACAGCTTTAAAACACTACAAGCTTTTATTTTAAGAGGAGCCAGATCTGTTAACATAAACTGCTGCTTTTGGCTTTGTTCGTTGAGTAAAGGGCCAGCAAGCAAATTCAGGAAAGCACGTTTTTTTTAAAAAAACTTCCTGACTGTACTCAACACTTTAACCAATAGATTCATAGATGGAAAAAATGAACAACAATGCATCTAAGCCTGTTATCATAAGCTCACTTTCTTGAAGTTCCTTTTTAATAGTCTCCACAAGGACCCAACCTTTGATTCCAAATCCTTGGAGTTGCTAGTCATCATATGATTCACAATCTATTAGGCTATCATTTACCTAATATAGAACCATGTGGATTTATGAAAAGTGAAAGACGGTGAAAAGACTGCCAAAGAGAGCGCTGAAACTCACTCCAAAGTACTATGAGCTTTTATTTCGAGAGGAGCCAAATATGTTAACATAAATTGTTGTTTTTGGCTTTGGTTGCTAACTAAAGAGCCAGAAGGCAAATTCAGGAAAGCAGTGCCAGCCTCTAACAGATAAAGACTGATTGCTTGAGAGGCACAGAGCTTATTACAGTAGGCTAATTTTCTTAAAGTTCTTAAATCATGAGGATAGTGTGCCCCACAAGGACATAAGACTTTATTTGAAATCCTTGGATTTGCTCACCTTCTAATCAGGAACTTATAACCATGCAACTATAAGTAATCTATCGACACTCTATAGGCTCTGTGAGGCTGTACATTGGAACAGCAGGGCTTTGACTTAAACGTCAGCGTGCTAACATGCTGATGTTGAGCAGTGATGGTGCGAGAGGAAAATTTAAAGGATCACAAACACCATTCGATTCATCATGAGGTAGACATGAATCTGTGTATCGCATTTCATGGCAATCCATCAAATAATAGAGACATCTCGATCTTAACCACAAATATCAACCTCATGGTGGAGCTGGAGGGAAAGTCATTAGGGTCAATTGTCTGGACAAAGTTTCAGGATAGTCCGTCCATTGTTGAGATATTTCAAACCGACATTACCATCCATAGTGCCACGTTGACATAGTGTGGCTAAAAACAGCCCTGACATTCTTTCTTTTTCATACAGTGAAGATGGAAAAGTTGTGAATTCAGAAGTGAAGTTCTTCACAGCTAATGCCAGCAGTTAAGGCCTCCACAATGCCCCACAGAGTGTATTACATCACCTAAAATCATATTTGAACCATGTGTGATGACTCAGTTAGTGACCAAAGTGAATTTAACTTGTACAGTAATGGTACTTTGTCTTCCCTATGATATTCTTGGCCTTTTCTCCAAGCATCCATTACGCTGTTTTACACGGCAGTCAATCACAGAATAAGCAGAACTGTCAAAGTCCTACTGTGTGTTATGTGTGTTTAAACAACCTGGTGATCACGTTTAATATTTTGTTCTTTAGGTTTTTAGATTCTCAGCTATCTTTTTGTGCAATCAAAACAGACTGATTATGAGTACCTCTGTGTGATTTCATCACAGGGCGATATGGGTGAAGACGGACCGAAAGGTGATACAGGAGAGAAGGTATGTAAATTCCTCACCTCACCTTTCATTCTCACTGTTTATGTCTTGGAAGCTGCACAGAGAAACAGCAGAGTCTGGCTGTGGCCGGAAAACATAAAAAAAAAAAGTTAATGTTAGCCATCTGAGAGAAGATCTGTGGCGAGCAGCAGCAGCAGCAGAAGTTGCTGAGGTCAAGTGCCATCAGCTGCAGTCAAGGCTGCACAACAGCAATCATCCTGGCACTTGATGCCTCCTTTGTGCTTAATGTGGACTTAATTGCTATGCTATGCTGACGCTACATTTTCTGGTCGGATGGCTCCTGCATTAATTTGGGACCATTTATCATCAAGACAGCTTGTCAAGTTGGGATCCATTTCCAACAAAAGGCAGAGTGGAGCTCTGCTGGACAGATTATTCAGAGCTAGAGTAATAGATTCACGTTTCTGTCCAAAAAGCTTTTGTTTTCGGGAAAAGTTTTTTTTTTTGTTTTGTTTTGTGTTCGTACTTTGACATCATGTTCAGAGGCAGATCAGACGTCCTATCCAGGGCTTGCTATGCCTCCTTTGCTGTTATTATTTTGTTAAAGCAGCATTTACGAAAATAGGTCACAGCCCTATTTGTATTGGGTGACCTCATGACAAAATTTGGGTCTCTTTACCCTTCAGATTTGTCTGAAAGCCATCCAGAAAGCAAACTATTATGGATTGGAATAAACGATTCTTTGAAAATGTGGATTCAGCCAATGCACAAATTGCTCACACTTCTGGGAAAAGATAAAGATTCTTCCCGAAGTTGCCAAAAAATGATAATACAGTTGCTAAGAACAAATAGCAGACACAAAACACTGATTTTTTTTAATGCACTGGAGATGTCGCTTTTTACTAGAAACACAGGGTTAGGTATAAAAACAAAACACAACTGATGGACCAGTGGACTAGAAGCAGTGTACTCAAAATGTCACTGCCAATTTATTGCTGTTCAGCAAAGAACAACTTTGATAACTTCTCACTTTATGGGTACTCTGGTTTTTTAAAAGACTGCCAAACATGGCTGCCAAAAAAGACACCATTTGAGGGAAACAGATGCAGGATATCATCTGTGGAGAATGAGTGAACAAAAAGGAAAGTAGAGGGTGATAAAACTTTGCAGCTCGAGCACTGCTTTGATCTGGTCTACCTCAGCGCAGTAAAAGCGAGGGGGGGAAAAAAAGGGTTTTCACTGCAGGAGTGAAAAAGAAAAAGCGGAATTGAGTGACATGGGAATTCAGACTGCTGTAGCCAGTCACCTGCCATTCATTCTTCAAGAGCGTACTCGTGTATTTCACAATAAAAAGAGACAGAAGGTTGTGTAAAGACCTGGAAACGGTGGGGATTTTTTCATCAGTATGGATAGGATTACCTCACCTTCTCTGGTCGTCAATGCCAGGATGTAAAAAAGCGCACAACATATGGTATTAATAATTGCTTTTTTAATCAAGATATAACTCAGCATACATCCAGATGAGTCTAACATATGACACATACATCAAGGATTGATTGAATTTTCAGTGCAAGTTAAAAAAAGGTCTAATGCGTGCTCATATACGCACACAGGATCAGCTACAGGAGAAAACTACATGTCATTCAACAAGCTAAGCCTCCTGTCATCGACGCTGTGTGTCTGTTCCGATGCTCATCTCTGATATTATTGTTTCACTGGCGGAAGAGGAAACCAGAGAGTAGAGGGGACAGAGGAGGGGAGGGGAAAGCATCTTTAGTCTTCCACGCTGAAGATGCCAAAGTTAACAATACACAGCACGCACTGCGGGGAAACTGTGGTAACTCGGGGTGAGAGGTGAAGCAGCGAAAGCTTCGGTATGGTGAGCAGAGAGAGACCTCAGGGAGTGCAGAGGAGGGGAGAGAAATGGCAGCGCAAGCAGTCGGACCGGGCTTCGCTTGATACAAAGGGAGATTGTTTTGACGGCGGGGGATCTGCGGAGTATGAAAGATGAGACTAAATGACAGGATATATACACTCTGTTAGATGCACGCAAGTTTAACTCTCTTTTCCTCACATCGTTAGAGACAATCTGTTACTCTATGGATCATGAATGAAGAAGCTATAAAGTTTTATGCTTTAGATGAGATAACAACTACAGTGTAATGCCATTTATTATTGGGTAGTCTTTGCATTTAGTCAGTGATAGAGGAAGTACTCAGATCCTTTATCTAAGAAATACCACAGTGTGAAAGTATTCTATTAAAAGTAAAGGGTATTGGAACAAACATATTAATTAATAGTACTAAAGTATCAAATGTAAAAGTGCTTGTTATGCATTGCATTTTTTTTTATTATGGAACTACTTTCTACGCAAACAGTATACCTGTGAGGCCCGAGAGCCAGCGTTCGTCTGTCGTCAAGTGGTTTTATATTAATTTCAAAACTGTTTAAAGGAGTAATTTGATGTTTTGTGAAACAAGCTTTTTGCTATCTTGCCGAGAATGGCGAGAATGGTGCTAAAAATATGATATTGTATATAGTTAAAGAAACAGTTCACCCCAAAATTAAAAAATATATTCATCCATCTAGATTGTTTTGGTGAGTTGCCGAGTGTTGGAGGTATTGGCCGTAGAGATGTCTGCCTTCTCACTGATATAATGAAACTCAATGGCACTCAGCGTGCATTGAATTGAATTGAAAAAACTCAGCAATGTCTCTTTCCAGAAATCCTGTCCTGGTTACTCAAGATAATCCACAGACCTTCGTGTGAGCAGTTTCATGTGGCGACAATTTTCTACTTTTATAAAGAGGAAAAATGTGTAATTTTGGAATGAACTTTCCCTTCAATATGTTTCTACAGTAAGCGGCAAGTTAGCTTAGCCTAAAATAAAGACCGTTGAAACAGGAAAACCTCAAAGTTAGCTCTATCCAAAAGTAACAATGTCCAATGTCCACCTTTCCAGCTCATTCAGTAACGATTATCTCGTGTAATCTGTAAGAAAAAAAACAAAAAAAAACCTGAACCATGAAAACGAAGCCATTTTATGAGTGGTTATTTGCCCTATTATTATTTCTTGGCCAGTATTAGCAACTTCCTGGAGTCTCCACAGGTTGCCTGGCAACTGGCCCTGGCCAAGAAACAGTCCGGCACATAACCTCCGGGAAAAAAACACAATCGTTTTTTTTTTTATACAGTCCTTTTCGTACAAAGATGTAATGTGTTAATTAGTGAGCTTTAGAGATGCTGTAAGAATTCACACCACTGAAACACAACATCATCTAAGGTCCTGCATTATTACCTAATCTTTATGGCCGTGTCTTGAGGAGGAGCCCTGTGCCAAAATAACACTTTATATTAGTTTATATTGAGCTCGCTCATAAAGCAGTGTTTAATTAAACTGCCACACAGAAGTATTTTGGATGTACCATCTTTATATGCAAAGTCATAGTAACTATAGGTGTCAAACACATGTTGTGGGGTAAAGAAGATAATGTAGCGAGCAGCAGGTATCTTACAACTGTTCTTACAGTATCTGAGTAAATGCACTTTGTGACTTTCCACCACTCCTTATATTATTTATTTATTGTGTGTAAAACATTACCTGCTCCCGCTGTGCTGCTTTCATAAGCCATCATCAACTGTGAAGAAAAATGTTTCCAACAGTCTCTGCATGTCCATCTCTGGCCTCATTTAAAAGAAATCATTACCACAGTTAAAAGCTTTAGTTCTGAACCATTTACCTCTGATGCAGTCTGCCTAAGTATTTAACTAGGTGTGAAATTAACTGTGACTCTTCTTGTTGAAAAAGTTAAACCTCAGAGATAGGAAAATTTTCAAGGGTTTAAAGCAAATAAACCCAAGTAAACTCTTGAATTGGTTTTTGGGAACTTCCAGGCTGAGCTCTTGGCTGTGGCCAGTGTGTGGCACAGTGGTTGGTATAATTTCTGAATCCTAAGATCCGGTCCAAGCTCTTGTGAACTGGCCATGTTTCAACTGTTGGCAGGGCCTTTCTGCCCTGGGAGCCAATCATAATCTGTGTTGACTCACATATATTCTAACTCAGCGACTGAGGTCGATATTTAGCTGAGACCGCTGAATTTGGTCATCTCTACTAATGGCCATAATATGAAGTAGGAGTCATGTTTTGAGGGCTGCGGTGACATTTATTGGTTACATTTGTCACAACTCTGCTCCAGCTTCATTGCTCACTGATTAATCCACTCCATCTCATTTTCTCTCACTCGGCAAACAGCTGGAAAATGGCCCAATTTACCAGGGAATACATTATGAGATTTTCTTGCTATTATCTTTAAATGCTAATATGCAGTGACAGTTCTGGACGCGTATAATGAAGGGGAGCTGCGGTGACAGCTCTCCATCCTGCTTGGCTCTGTGGTTAAATCACAGGCTGTAGCCTCACCATGGTAATTGGCCCAATTGGGACTTTTCAGCACTCTGTGCCACACCTCAGCTCACCTCCCAACTCCACCGCTTTTTCCATCTCATAGTACTTCACTTGGAATAGATTAAACCAGTGAAAACTCTCACTTGGTCCTTGGGCTTGGTGTCACTTGTTTTCACTCTGTCATGACAGAAAATGTACATGGGGTTTATCAGTTCATCAGCAGGGGGGTGAGGTGTTAATTGCGTGTGCAGCATCCTCTGATACTTGTTTTCACATGGTGGCCTTTTGATTAAAAGTGTGCTGTAAAGTCTTATTTTCCACAATATTAGCTCTTTATGGTCTCATCCTGCTGAGATAAATAATGAGAACAAAACTTAATCATGCGAACATATAGTCCCTAGCTTGATTATTAACTTAACAAGGTGAGATCTTTTGTTGTTTCTTTTTGTGTACAAGACGTAACAATGAAGTCCAGATGTGAGGCATTCTTACTATCCATCCCAGCCAAGAAGCAACAGGTGTAAAACAGCTCTGACTTTGATGTTTGTTTTGTTAAAACAATTCAACCAAAGCACAAAAAAATCCAAATAATGGGTCGCTGTATAAAGTTTCCTGTTCTATTCTAATTTTTAAGCGAACCGCAACATGTCATCCATGTTGTTTCTTAAGTATTTGACCAAAAGCATTTTACTTCATTGTGTAAAAACATGAGAAAGCCTTTTATTCATCTTCGATAGTGTAACATGAGGAGCCTGTTTACACAGCTAACTGTAAAAGTTCATCCTCTCAGATCTTCTGTTCTCTCTATAAAATACGGAAGAAAACGCTCGTATAAAAAGTGGAATGATAACTTTTAAGATATGGATAGAGGCACACTTCAGTATGCAACAAAGCCCAGCTGTAAACAGTAACGCAGTTTATTGTCTGCAAAAAAAATGCCGCAATTAAACATGCCTTGTGTGCTATGCATCGTAATGACTCCCATAAAAAGCTGAGGGCGAGAGGCATTCCTTCAGCAACTTCTGAGCGCAAGGCGTATGTGTAGTGAAACCACAGAGTCCACACCAGAGCTAAAGACCCAGTCTCCTTCTCCCCACTCCCTTTTCCCACCAACCGCCCATAATTACGCTTATTGGCCCCTTGTTTTATGTATGTTTTTACTGTACGCTGCAAAACTAATGCAGTGCATAAGAAAGGGCCTGGGTTCTCCATGTTTGGATGATTTTGCTGGAAAAATGTGACACAAGTAGCTCTGTCTCCTTCCAGTTCAATACCTTACCTGAAGAGATGCAATGAAAAATAAAGTTTAAATGTTGCCGTTAGTACTCAACCCCCTCAGCTCCTATACTGTTGGGGATTTCTTCTGCATAGTGTTAAATTTCATGTCATCACCAGTATGCAGCTGCACTCTGACAGTGTAAAAACAATGAAATGATTCCCAGCACTGTAGTTATAAAAATGCTGCCTCCAACTTTTGTGAGAAGGTACATTCAATCTGAACGCTGCTTAGAATAGCAGACAATCCTCTTCATAATTGGATTTCACACAGTTTCGTCCAGACAACTCAGTGAATGCAGAACTTGGGCAATTATGTTCTGCATTGTTCCGAAAAAATAGGTTTCTTTCATATTTTTTTTTAAAGCTGTAATTGCACAGTAATGTTCACCGCATCCAGTTTTATAATAACCCCTGTCACTTTTGGACGGTTTTCCATGTTGTACCTTTCTAATTTTTGTTTTCTTTATCTTCCTCTCAGGGAGATGCTGGCTCTTCAGCAGCAGGCATCAAGGTGAGAGCTAAGCTAACGCTAAAGGTTTTTCAATGTCAGTGTCTTGATCCTCATTAGGTGTAGTTTGTAGGTTCAGACTTACCAAGTGGAGTTTTAAAGAAGCAATGTGTAGCATTTAGTGGCATCTAGTGGTGAGGATTGCAGATTGCAACGTGCTGAGTCTCGCCCCATGTGCCAAGCGTGAACTCCTGGTTAGGAGTTTTTGACCCGGAGACGAATTATTCGCAGAGGTCTCTTCCTCTCCAAAACAAACAGACACTGTTGCCAACTCCTCAGTAAGAAAAGTAGCTACTGGCTGTCCTAAAAGTTGCTAGAAGTCGCTAAATGACGTCATTGCCTAATTTGCATAATTGTCCATATGCATGTAATTGTAATGGCTGCTGTAGGAGAGAGGAATAACGTCGTGGGAGAGACCAAAAACTGAGTAAAAAAACACCCTGAATATGTTTAGAACTACAAATGAACCTTCTTTCAGTGATTTATATTAGACAAAGAAAATTTTACATTTACATCCCGCCCTGACTGTAAACCAAGTCGGGATCAGCCAGAGGCAGTTACGCACATGCGCGATTCACTTGCAGTCTGGACGTGAAGGGGTTACCATCTCCTGCTCTGACTGCTGCTGGGTGGGAGGACTGGGCTGTCTGTGAGTGCTTTGAGGCGAGAGAGGAGCCCACAGCAGCATCCGCTGCTTGTTGAGAAGAATAAGAATGATACATGCTCTCACAGCAGCGTGTCCAGAAGTCTTCAATAACATCAGAAAAAGTCGCTAGATTTGTCGCTAGTCGCTTTTTTGAAAAAGAGTTGCTAGAGGGGTCTGAAAAGTCGCTAAATATAGTGACAAAGTCGCTAAGTTGGCAACACTGCAAACAGACCAGGTGATTAAAACTGCTAAAATCACAGAATAAACAGTTTCACATTAGAAATCAGTGTTTCTCTGATGTTGTTTGGCTTGTCACAGACGGACCGCTAGCCCAACACCTGCTTATCTGTGCTCACCTTTTGTCTCATATAAGATCCAGATGTTCAGGAGATTTTTATCTGGAGCCAAGTTATCCTTAGAGGTCTCCTCCTCAAAAGAAACAGACTTGATAATTTAAGCCAGTGAAAAAACGGAATAAAGCAGTTCCACGCAAAAATCTGTGTTTTTCTGACACTGTTCGACTCATCACGGAGGGGCTGCTAACTATGGAGGCTAACTCAAAAATGTGTATGGCCCCTTCTCGAGCCAGTGTTTGGTTTGTCCAGTCTCAACTAGTGTAGCAACATGGCGGACTTTGTGGACAAGGACCCACTCCCTACGTAGATATAAAAGCTCATTCTATGGTAACAAAACCACAACAAGTCTCATTTTCAGGCAATTACACACTACAGAAAAGAGGTTACTAGATATTTACACAGAGTAACTTCCATGTGTAACAAACTGCTTACCAAGCTAACTGGACCAACTCCAAAACTAACGTTAGCTAACTAACATATGACCTACTTGGAGTGAGATGTAAAAAAGTAATATGATATTACTGTATATGATCTGATATTGGATCAAAATGCGCTTTAATAATGACGTAAAGTTCCCTCCAAAAACCTCAGTATAGGATACAGCCGTAAATATTAGCCCAAATAACATCAGTTAGGTTAAGCTAACGTTTAGCTTGATCATCAATCTGAAGTAGCTAAAGGTTAAGCTAACGTTTAGTTTGATCATCAATTGGAAGTAGCTAGCAAAGAACTTAGGAACGACCTAACACACAAACTTAATAATGGATTTAAGAGAAGATAAGAGATAAGATTTCACTTTATTGTGAGAAAAAACCCCTGAAATTTGTCTTGCGTCCTAGGACGTCAATTGTTTCACATAAATTGTCCTACGAATAACCAAGGCACAGAATGCCGTGATGCGGTTTGCAGCCATGCCGTGCACCAAAAGCGAAAGTGTGTGGATTTACAAATAGCAGGTTCACACAATCCAGAAATGAAGCAGCTGAAAATAAAACTCTTTGCATGTTTTACAGGGTGAACCTGGAGAGCCTGGACGAAGTGGACTAAAGGTAATAATTGCACTTTTCTACATATTGCTCTTTGATGCGCAGCAGATAGATAGTAGCACATCAATAAACAGACGTAGCATTAACGTTAATCATAGTATGGTTTTAACCACATAAGCTGTATTTTGTTGAATATATATTGTTTGTTGATTTTAATAGGTGTTTCTATTAATAAGTGACTATGGGAGTAAAATATTCAAGTATGAAGTGATAGAAAATTCTCAGCTTTCTGTATCTGGCTGAACATATGTCTTTATTTTTCATCACTGTGTATACACAGATGCTGGCAGATACAGTAGTTTGGATAGGAGCATTCCAAACTTGGTTGAACCTCACTGTTTAAAGTGTAACAAGGATGGTTGTACATGGGGGGGCTCACTGAGTAGAGCCTGACACTTCAACTTTGGTGCATCACAGTGCTCCGACTTATTTTACATTTACTTTGGCGTGATACTTGTTTTGAGCCAGCGCAAGGTCCCAGGTATCATACTAACACCTCTGGATATACTAAATCTTTTCTGCTGCATTTTATCGTGACCTGTACTTGACAGAATCTAAAACCACCAGGTAATTCCAGTACTTTGCTTTGCATCAGTCCATCTCCACAAGTTTTTGTGGTTTAAGCCATATTTGTTAGACCTCTCTCTCAGCCAGTTTTTGCTCTCGTGTTTGGCACACTTTCCAAGGAAATCAGAGGAATTTTGTTAGAGAAACAGTTGCTGATGAGAAACTAATAAAACAAGCATGCAGCAGAAAAGGAGCTATTTTCCTGCAAAATAAAAGCCATTACTCGTCCCTTGACCAGACTGCTGCCAAGATTGCACCAGCGCTCCATCTAATTACACTTTTTAATCCCAAGTGCTGCGCCCCATTAATTCCCCCTCTCTTTTCTCTGTTTGGACAAACTGGTTCCAGACAGACAGAAGGGCAAGTGTCTTTTTTTTCTGCTCTGCTGCAACGACAACATTCGTGGCCTAACTAATTTTTTGACTGCTTTATCTTATCTCTCATTTTACAGCCGTTCTGCTTGTGCTGACACACTTACAAATTGTATTTCTCATCAAAACGGCCATCATGGGATTGAGTTGTTGTCCCCCGTTAAATATTACCACTGGAAGGCATTCAAGTGTTGGTGAAGTAGCAGTCCACAAGAAAGACTTTTATTCATTAGTTTTACAATGCTTTCATTAGCCACAATGGAAATTTACAGGCCTCTCTCTGATCCCAAGTGACATTACAGTTGATCATTCTCGTGCGCCGCTAATCATTTCTTTTCTCATGCCATAAATACAATGGTCTTAATAGAGCGTTAAACTATCCAGAGTCAGACATTTTGTTTTGAAAGTCTCGCAGACGCCTCACAAGAGACTTGACCTCTGATTTTTCCACAGTTTAATCAAATGACTCTGCGTTACTCAAACTTGCATATAATGGGAGTTTGGAGTTCTCAACTTGACAATGACCCGACCTTGGTAACGGAGGAATGGGCCAACTCCTGGCTTCCAGCACTGCCAAACTCTAACGACCTTGAAGCCACGGCAGCTCTCTCAAACAGCTTTTGCAACTTTAATCCAAAGTATCTGACGGTTTTTCCTTCCAGAAACCAGAACTTTTCACACCTGCCCAAACCAATAAAAGCATAAAAAATAAGACTCCATTGCACTTTGTGGAGGGTTGAGTGTTATAACAAGCACTAATCACGCTGTCAAGCCATGGCTGCATGAGTTGGTTTGAAAGTGCATGTGCAGTACCTTCTGCTAGTGCTTACCGCAAGCAAACGACAGTCAACATACACTTACTGACGGCAGGCCACTTTTCAGAATTACAGCAGCTTGATAGCCAGAGAAAACACAAATAGAAAATACGGTGTAGAGCTAATAGAACCCCAAAGAGCCTACAAATGAGGCTTGACTCAGCTTAGCTTGGCTTGGCTGTAACATGTCACACTCTTCCTGTGTAGGGAGAGCCAGGACTTCCAGGGCTGCCTGGACTCCCAGGGATAAAGGTAAATTCTTCGCTGTTTTCATCCCCAGTCATTCCCTCGGTGTTGTCCCTGTCCATCCTCTTCAGCCCGTCTGTAGCAAGAGTTCGGCGCAAATCTCAGCCGGCCTATCGTCATGCCTCATGCACGACACGTTAAGGTCTCATAATCTTGCTTTTCCTGCTGTGTGGGATTGGTAGCGAGACTGCAAGGTTCCATCTGCTCCAATGCAGACTCACAGTAACACCTGTACATTCAGCGCAGTGAAAAGTAAGGAGCTCAGACAAACTGACAAGGCCAATCGGTCGATGCTTTTCATCTGAAAGTGCTTGAAGAAAAAAAGGTTTGTGAATAGTGTAGAGGTCTATTAAAGGTATACTATGCAGGAAATGTTGGTTTATTACTTATAAGTACACTACAAGCTACTGTAGGAATGTTAGTTCTAGAATACACCTACTGGTGCTACTTGGACACATCCTCAGTGATGAACCTGCGGTCACGGGGTGTTTCAGGTCTTTAATCTTCAGACACCCTCACCAGTGCGACCCAGCTGGGGGTGATCACACCCCGACTTGTGTCCAAGTGGCCCACTACTCCACGGATCCCCCCTCCGGATCCACAGCCATTGTGAGGCTCCTTCAGCGGCCTCGAAGATGTTTTTGATGGCTCTTTTGCACAGCTGACCTTTTACTCCAAGGAGTTTGAGGGTTTGACGCAATAGCTGGCCAGCAAATCTGCAGCACGCAACCTAGATTGGTTATGTTACATTTGTTTTAATGGAAAAAGCCAATACTTATTAAGCTAACTAAAGCTAAACAGGCCAACTGCGCGTCGCTCTTCATCTCCATCCTCTCCTTCAGTGCTCGCCAGCGAAAGTGAAAGCCAACCCCAGATTCACTCTCGTTTTGGAACGAGCTTTGTCTGCTTATCGTTTTACTTGCTATATTTGCGTCTTTTTTGATGCTGTGTCCATGATTTTTGTAGCTTTCTCTTGGATGCGTGCTACTTATGGCACGCTGTCATTGTCTAGTCGCTACACACCCAGTAACATCCAAAAAACAAAACAGAAAATACAGTCAGAGGGTGGAGCCTCCGCAGATAAACACACAGCTACACCGAGTCTATACATAGTTTTTTAAGAAAATCCTGCATACTATACCTTTAATTGATGATGACATTGCATCCCTGGCAACAACTTCAGTCCATTTCCTGGAAGTGTCATCAAGAGACTCCCTGCAAAATGGTTCTAATCTGGAGAGGAAGTTTGATTTTTATTTATTAATTTAGAATGTATCAAATTAGGCTTTTTTGTTTTAGTGAAAGTGCTCGCTTGTTTACTGTATCATAAAAAAAACTACAGCAGATGGTAAAACAAGAGGGACATATTTCACTGCCATCTGATACTTAAAGAACAGCAACCACTTCAAGGTTTCTCAGGATCATTAGCTTGAAATATAACATGAATGCAAGGAATGCTCACACAGGCATGATGAGATGATGCTTGTTGCTGTTTTGGTTTTGTTTTCCTCTTTTTGTGTGCATGTAATGTGCTGGCCTTGTAAAAAAAAAGCCCTTTCATTTTACATTTTATATACTCCTGTTTTTACTTAAGGCCTGAATGCTTGATGGATTCTAACAATATTTTTGCTAACGTAGCACTCTTGGGTTCTGAGCTCGGCTTGCACTTTGTTCTGCTCCGCATTCTTGGCTGTTTATCCGATCAAAGTTTAAAAGTTTGAGAGGCAAGTGTCCATTACCTCTCCAAAGGCTTCCAGAGGGCCCAAACTACAGTAGGTGGGTCGCAGATGGTCGAGCAGTTAAGTTATTTCACAATCAAATGTGATGTAAATCAAATCAGCATCACACCTCGTACTGGAAGCTCACTCCTCGTAAGTGAAAGTGCAAATGCAAAAATGTTCAAGCTTCTTCATAAGTGGCAGAGAACCTGGTTTTTGCACACACTTAAGCCGATCGCTTCATGTGCTCTGATGAGTTTCTAACAAGGTCAGTCGTAACGTCTGTTAAGCTCATAAGAGGAGTCATTAATGTTCAGTATGTGAAACCAGGGGAGAAATTAACACGCCACTGATAATTTGTGTCCGTGTGTGTGATTTATGCATGTGTCCCTGAGTGTGTGTTTGCGTGCAGTACGCGCATGCCTGTCATTTTGAATACGTTTGGCCATGCATCTTGTGTATGTGTTTAGCGCTCATTAGCAGCGAGTGGAGGTAGAGCTACACCAAAAATGCCCTGTGGAAAAATAAATAATATTTGCTGATTTTGTTTTTTTACAGGGTGAGCCTGGATTCCTCGGTCCCCAGGGAGAGCCAGGGCTTCCAGGACTCCCAGGAACTAAGGTGGGTGACTTTCCTCAGTAACTATCTTGTTTATCACAATGTGAGAGTGCCACAGTGCATATTTCAAGTCAATGACAATGAGTTGCAACAAATCTGACAGCTTTTCATCACGTCCTGTCAGTGCGATCGTCATGGAAATCAGTAATCCCTCCAGATTTACGGGCTCATTATCGATGAGTGTCACTTTACAGAGGTGATGAAGCCTTTGTTTCCTCAAAATGTCACTTGGAAGTGGTCAGAACGAGCTAATCCTCGCAGCTCCCCGTGAGTCGTGACATTATCACACTGTGGAGCCAGCGGTGATAATCCAGACACACTAGAATTAATGTTCCTGTTGTCCTTTTCCATCAGACTGCAGTGCATTGATAATCGAGATATATGAGCCTTGCGTTGTCATCTGGCATATCTCCGTTGCTTAATCAAATGTCAGGGTAAAGCTGAAAAGGAGGAGCATCGCTGATAGCTTTTCCTTGTGTTCAGGGCTGCTCACAGGTTTCAGACAACTTGGGTTTTACCCAGTTTTTCAGAGGGTGCTGCTAAAGTTGTTGGGTTTTTTTGTTATAAACTAAAAGTCTGCAAGTTATCATTGGCAAGCAGTTACTCGAAGAGAAACATTAATTGACTCAACACTGCTGAATAATGGTTGTGTCCCACTTGGTTTGAAGTATCAGAAATAAGTAATCGAGCAAGGATGGTCTCTGAGTTACACCACACCCCCCTCTAGTGGCCGTCTTAAGTCACTTCATGTTGAGAGAAAATGCACACCACCATACAGCAGAAGATTTACATTTTTATTCAAATATTCAAATGCAAGACAAAGACAGCTTGATGCAGATGTATATTTGTTTTTATTTTTCCTCAAAAATAACACCTCGTCAAAGGTCACGATCGAGCAGGAAGCTGATTGCTCTGACTCAGCATATATATCTACGATTCACCATGTAAATCTGTCGAGTAAGCAAACTCCTAAGAAAGGCGGGGAGCTCTTATAGTTGATTCCTCAGTCATGTCAATACTGCATAACATTAAGGAAACTGAAGACCATGCCTGATATTCAGAGGATGCATCACAGCTCCTCTGATTACAATTAAAGGAAACTGGCCTCAGGTCAGCCCTTCTCTGTGACAAATACAAGATGCAGGTGGAAAGAGGTGACTTGTTTTTGAGTAGTTTGTTCTTTTGTCTCTACAGGGTGAGAGAGGCGACCACGGGCCACCAGGAAAGGGTGAAAGAGGAGACCTTGGACCTATTGGACCAAAGGTCAGTCACCTGCACATGTGCAAAGACAAATGGCACAAATTTTGTGGGAAAAGAAGATCATTCAGTGGTATTTATTTTAAAGCATCCTGCTTGTTCACAACTCTTTTCACCCATTTTATTCATAGATTTTTGCTGCCATCTAGAGCTTCACTGATTTAAGCACACTATAAAGGCAAAAAGAGTTTCAAACGATAAAACTAGAACGCATTCCCAAAGCGAGGGCTGATTCGATTAATCAAATATTCAGTTGTGTGAACAAAGAGAGCTGGCTAAACCATTACAGCCTGTAATAAGTGCAGGACTTTCCCTGGAGTCGACTTAAAGTAAACCAAGTATAAATGAGTTTACCATTGTTTATGTCTGGCACTGACCCAGCAGGTATCTTCAGCTCCAGTCTAAACTTGGACAACACACAGATCTGTTTCACATCCTATTAGAAACCCCCAGAGTGAGACCTCCTTTATCAATGCCAGAGTTCAAATAAACACTCCCTCCATCGCCTGGCAGTTGTAGCATATTAAAAGCTGGTTATGTCAGTGAGGCTGACTGCGTCGCTCTCTTGAGAGGAGTAAAAGAGGCTGATGATATTTCCTTTGTGAAATATGCATTTAAAATGCATTGCATTTTTTATGATAAATTTGGATTGAGCCCATAAAGAGAGTTTGTTTTATGTTTTTCAATTTCATGTTTATATCTCAAGTACTTAGTGTGTCCTTTTTTATAGTCTCCCTCAAACCATGACTCTTTACGTCGTCTGTGTTTTCTTCCTCGCGGCAGGGTTCACAAGGAGAGGCTGGTATACCTGGTGCCAAAGGGTCAAAGGTGAGCATGGCAGATGTGTTTTCTTTAAATTTGGTGAACACAGCGCTTTAATTAGATAGTCTTCTAATTAGATTTTGCAGGTAATAAAGATTTGCACCATTCAATGTTGTTTTAGTTCCTCTAATACCTCTCTAGCTGCAGACTTGGAGTGGAATTCAATGCCGGGGGAGGTTTAGTGTTAGTTATCGTAGCAGTGATATTAATATGGGTATAATATTTATTAGTGTTGTTGCACTTGTTTTTGTACCAAGTCTCTGCAATGCTAAAGTATGTATCTAAAAAAGACATTTTAATTGCACCAAGGTTCTGAAAACAATACACATGATGAAAAGTCCCACACAGCAGTGTAATTTTTCATACTATGTTGTGACTCAAAATACTATAACTTGTTGTACAATAATAATGGGGTTGATGTGATATATAATTTCAAAACATGTGCCGCACATTTTTCCATGAAAAATAATGTAATAATAATAGCAGCGGCAATTTGTTAATCATTTTTGTTTGTCTTCACATTAGGGGGAGACTGGAGATAAAGGAGACTTGGGGTCTATTGGACCGAAGGTAAGCAAGTAATTTAAAGAAGATAGATGCTGTTATTCTCCCCTTTATTGATTGATTTCAATGTGTTGCATGCCGATTAACATTAAAAACTTTTTTTTTACCATGATATACTACACCAAGGGCGGGCCAAAACTTCAAGGCACACCTGTATTTATATCTGTGCACACTAGCCTCTATGACGTGTGTTATCACTCTTAACGTGACATTAATGTTTGTTTCTTAAACTAAGCACAAAAAGTAAGGAAATTTGTGTTTGGTAGATTTCTTTGTTGTAACAATGCTGCTTGGCAATAAATTGGTTGCTGGTGGAAAGCCTGTCTCTGATATCCCCCGTTATATGGAACTTGGCCTTCAGTTTGCAGATGGTACTAGGGCTCACTCCAAATAATGCTGCAACTTGGTTTTGGGGAACACCGGCAAAATTTTCATGGACACAACCCACATACTCAGCTCTGCTGCTCATCCCACAAATGCATGCTCCTTACAAATGTGGCACCATTTAAAAGGGAAATAAACAGGCTTTCCAATTGTATAAGATTTATTGCCAAGAACCATTGTTACAACAAAGAAATAATCTACCAGTCACAAATTTCCTTACTTTTTGTGCTTAGTTTATCTACTGATATCAAACAAGAATTGGCATACAACTATTACTCGTGAAAAATTTATTTACGTAATTATTCAAGAACTTATTTTGAACATTTTAAAATGACATCAAAGTGCCAATAACTCATCCATTTAATGTAAGATCATGTAAGATAATTTGATGTGTCCCACACTATTAATTCATAACTTTTTGTGTAGGCTCAGTTGAATATTTCAATTATAATGATTGGTTATCACCTAATCCAATGGCATACCCGGATTGGCATCACCGTGGCACCCCATTTGCGAACCACTGTACTACACTACACATTTATTACCACCAGAGGGCAGCAGTTAAACCTCAGCAGTTTTTGATCCTGGTCTTAAATGTCTCTGATGTTGTATAAATTGGGTGTGCAGTGTGAAAGAAAATGTGTTTAAATGTGTTTCTCAATGCCAACAATGTGCAGGGCCCCCCTGGGCAGAAAGGAGACCAAGGAGCCACTGAAATCATCGACTACAATGGAAACATTCAGGAGGCTTTACAGGTCAGAAAAGTTGTTATATAAATTAGCTCATTTATGTTATCATTGTTGCTTCAAATAGATAAATAACTGCGAGAATGATGGTGTTTCTGTTATGTTATCATGACCTAGACCTCAGTCATCTTTTAAGCATGATAGACCTTCCTCACATTTTCAAATTTCTATGTCTGTGGTTCATGAGAAAAAGCATTTGTTAAAGTGTAATGCCCTCAAATTAACACTATTGAGGGTATGTACAGATAAACAGGCTAACATCTGTTTAATAAATAACTAATTTTGAGGGTATATCTGTGCCAAATGTGCTGACACAAAGGTTTTCTTTCCTGTATGACTTCTGCAATCTTATCTCTCACCTCCTCCCCATTGCCACACCTTTGGCCCACTGCAGAAGATTACCACTATTACAGTAACGGTAATTAGGCTCTGTGTATTCTTTGTATTGTGTCACCTCCATAAATTATTCATCTCTGTCCTCGCATGGGCCCAACCCTGGTTTGCACTGCCTTGTTGTATTTGTGCTCCCTTACCCAGCAACATGTTTGCATAACAGTGAATGAAACAGTATTCAGTGCTGCGATTTGCTTTTGTGTGATCGACCCCACAGGCTGCCTGAGTTGCTGGTTGTCTCCCTGAACGTCAGTAAAACATCCTTTAAAACAACATCATGAGAAAATGTTTGAAAAAGCGTTTCCCAAAAGTCACACAGTCCGCTTTTGGTCAAAATCATTCCAAGCACATAGCAGTTGTAATTATAGTTAAGGCTAGATTGCCAAGCAGTCAGAACTAGTCCCAAAACTCCAAGGCCCTGCTTTGTGTTCATTTAATTGAACACTTGTTTGGGAATATGCACCAAGAATAACACTGACTGATAGGAGATCTGAAGTTTGGCCCTGTCTTGAAGAGGGTCTCTGTTCAAAATCTAGTTTTAAAGCCATCATTGTGTCAGTTTTTTACTTGCATAATTCTAAATTATTGTGTTCAATTTATGCGTCATTAGGTTTCAACACAGCCAGGGAGGTATTCCAGGTTAGAAAAAGGAGACATCACAGAGAAAGTGTGCTGGCAGGTGTTAATGCCTAGCATCTGCTTTTTGTACGTTTCACTGATTTCCCTGTCAGCATTCAATTATTACATTTAATTATATAAGATAAGAAAAATAAATATAGCAATTTATCTTCCATGCAAAACATTATAAATGACAAATAAAAAAATGTTCAACATCAACTAAGTTTTGGGAAAAAATTGGGAAAACAAGTGACGCATAATTTGTGCCTTACTTCTTACTATTATAGCAACATAATGTCTTATGTTGGCTAGCATTAGGGGTGAGAATCACCAAAGGCCCCATGACATAACGACACTTAAGCTAAGTCTTGATACATTGTTATTGCAATTTTAAACATTTTACGATTTGCTGATTATTGCAATATTACATACTACGATATACTGCGATTATTTGTCAACATCTGTTTCATCTAATAAGTTTTCAGTCTGTTCTTTTCACTTCATTTTTTTTGCAGCAAAATGTATCTAGTGGACTGGAAAAGCAATTGATTTTATTATTCTAATAGGCTATTAAAAGCTTAATATGTATTTGCAATATTAATAATTTATATAATTAAAAATCAATACTTGCTGCCTGTGTATCGACAAAATATTACCACACAAAATATCGTGACACTATGCTGTATAGATTTTTTTCCCCCACTGCTAGTTTGCATAGTGTGGAATTAGCATGTTTAGCATCAAAAACACTGAACTGAAACTGTCCTGTTCATAAAAACACAACTTTAATAGGATTATGTTGGTTAGCATGGGGCAGACTTAGCATGTTTAGCATCACAAACAATGAACTGAAATGGTCTTGTCCATAAAAACACAACTTTAATAGGATTATGTTGGTTAGCATGGGACATAATTAGCATGTTTAGCATCACAAACACTGAACTTTAACTTTCTTGTCCATAAAAACTCAACTTTAATAGGATTATGTTGGTTAGCATGGGACAGAATTAGCATGTTTAGCATCACAAACACTGAACTGAAACTGTCTTGTCCATAAAAACACAACTTTAAAAGGATTATGTTGGTTAGCATGGGACAGAATTAGTATGTTTAGCATCACACAATCATTCTAGCATTTAAGCTACATACGTGAAGTACTGCACAAAATTGCACACATTTAAAATACTGTAATATAAATTGTTAAAAGTGGGCTTAAGTGTAACAATTCTCACTTCAATGTGCCTTACTCTTTAAATGTGGCACTAAATTTTGTATTCCACAGTGATAAACATGTTATGTTGGTTAGCATGCTATACAATTAGCATGTTTAGCATCAGGCATCATAAACTCAAACTTTTCTAAAGAATCATCCTTGTTTAAAAACACATTTTTATTTGTTTTATGTTGTTTTAGTGTTTCAGCAATGGAAGCTAAGTGTAGCTAAGTATATGATTTAATCTTAATGCAAAAAACTGCACACATTTAAAATACTGTGATATAAATTGTTCAAAGTGGACTTAGTTTACAAATTCTTCACTTCTTTGGGCCTTACTCTGTATATGTGGCACTAAAGTTTGTATTCCAGATCAATAAACCCAAAGCATTATGAGTTTTGTTGGTTAGCATGGTAGCAACTTAGTATGTCCAGCATCACACATACAGAACTGAAATTTTCTTAAAATCATCATTGTTTACTAAAACAAAATTACATTTGAATTACTCTTATGAAGCTTCCTCTCTGATTGCAGCATTCAGGTGGAATCATAGGTGTGATACACAGCATGAATATCTTCCATCATCCCCCAAAGAAATATTGCTTCAAACTCAAATGGAATTGAATGAATGGTTCATGATCATGAAAAACGCTCACATCTGTTAATGATATTTATTGATGCGTCTGTTGTAGCTAACATGTTTTTGACTTTGGCATGTGTCTTTGAGTTGAGCATCATAGTTTATAACTGATTTCTAACTTGTTTTGTGCTGTTTCCAAGTCATTTCATTGTGATGGTCAGTTCCACTGATGAAATGTAGTTCTTTGTTTTCAAACAATAAGTTGATATTGACATGAGCAACCCCAATGAAACATTATTCCCTCAGCTGATTCGGAGACTAATTTAAGCACCTCCCGTGTCTCTGTTTCTGATCAGGGTCCTCCTGGACCTCCTGGGCCGATGGGGCCTGACGGGAAGAAGGTAAAAATGTTCTTCTGCTTTAGTAACCCCACCTACAATGCCTAATGTTTTCATAACATGTGCAAAACTCATGTCGACTGGCACTTCTTTATTTAAGGAACAGACTCTCAACATACCATCCTACAAGTGCAAAATCAAACAGGTAACATCTGCATTTGCACTGTGCTTGTCTTTTTGTCCTCTCCCAGGGCGATCGCGGTATGCCTGGTCTCCCTGGACTCGACGGTGAAAGAGTGAGTTCATTTTATATAATCATTTATCGACGATTTAAATTTTGATTTGGTTTATAAATAGCAAAGACCTTCACTGAAATTACTTTATATTGATTAGGTTATTACATGAGGATTATCTCAGATGAATGAGCAGAGCTAAGAGAGACTTAGGACCTTTTATACATCTTTGTTTGTACTGCCTTATACAAAATATATTTGCATAAATATCCACAGGGTGAATAATTAAAACACAGTAGTTCCTTTTTATTTCTATGTTTACATTTTGCCCTCCCCTCTCAGGGCTACAAAGGTTCCAAAGGAGACATGGGAATGCCTGGAGCTTCAGGGGATAAAGGAACAACTGGTTTACCTGGCCTACCTGTAAGAATCTACACATATTTTCAAACTGTTTCCTAAGTTCAAGTTTTATTATTAGTGTCCCTGTAGGGCAATTGGTTGTGCAGCAAGTAAACAAAATACATAAATACATACAATCAAGGTCCAAGGGGGGGTCGGGGGGGACACACAGTGTGTCGAAACAACAGTAGACACTGGGACATAGCCAATAAGAAGTTATATAAAAGAGAAACTAATATCCCAAGTGCATAGGAAGTAGCATCTAAAATAGCCTACACAGAGTAGGAACAGTACATAGTACCAGTATGATGATGATCATCACACATAAAAATCATCATAATAAGATTAAGCCTTTTGAAAAATCTTAGTTTATCAGAACTCTTCCCCCATCTTATAAGATAAAAACCACACATGTCTAATGCAGCTGTTGTTCCTTATAGGGTGTCAATGGAGTAAAAGGAGATAAGGGTGATTCAGGTCTACCTGGGCCTCAGGGTTCTTCAGTAAGTCAAATTTAAGACATTTATCATGACTCGCCATTAACGTACTCCAGTAGTTGTATTATGTTGTTCATTGCAAACTTTCATACAGTTATGTTGTTAATGTGAACTGTAGTCAAAATATGTTATTGCAGAATCATGATTTGGTGATAAAATATTTATGTTTAATAATTGCAGATCACTGGACCTCCAGGGCCACCAGGGCCCCACGGACCCCCAGGGCCCATGGTGAGTGTTTTAATCATTAATCACATAATATCAAACTACAAATACAGATTGTATCCTTGCCATTCATGACCATACTCATACGGCAATATGAATTGCAATGTAATGAGATGCTGTATAATCTCTACTCGACTCAATTTTATTTATAAAGCATCTGTCATACAAACGTGACCAAAGTGTTCAGATAGCACAGACACAATGTAAAAGATAACGCATATAATTACACATAAAGCATTGCAAGACTGGAAAATTACAAGGAGAAGACAACAACAATCATCTTGCAGGAATAAAAATACATGACGCAAAGCTGTGGTTACAGTAACGTACAAAAACATGTACAGCACTGGTTCATGTTACAACAAGCCCACAAACTTGTGCTGTCAGTAACTGATCCTCCAGTTAAAAACACAGGGCTGGGAACTTGACAATTTTTGCCCTGTCAGAAAATTCACAGATCTATACTTGTTCTACTTCTCCCATCCAAACATCCTCAACAGCAGGTTATTACAAGAAGGAAAGATAAGAAGTAGAAAGACAAAAGCAAAAATGCTTGAGTTGTATGAAATAATACATAAGTATGCTGATAATGAGTGCAGCCACAAGCTAATACTTTGCATTGTTTTCATGTTTTCAGGGCCCCCATGGTTTCCCTGGACCAAAGGTAAACCTCAGCAACAAAGCACAGTGCATGTATGATAACAACTCACATTCAGGTCATTATGAATGTAATTTAGCTAGGGCTGCACAGTAGGCCCAGTGCAATATCCATATTTTAGGAGCTGCATTTTTTTGGATAGAGGTAAAATGTGTGACATTATAAATGAAACATTGTGCAGCTGCATGGATGCCATATTCCAGACTTAAAGGAACGTATATGTTTGATACGGACTCCAACAAAAATCATATCATCATTTTTATTTATGTTTGTCAATGAAAATGAAATGCAAAAATTCCAATTTCCACTTAAACCACGACTCATTTTGCAATTGCAATATCTGTCAAAATAATCAGAACGCCAGCCGTGGCTGGAGGCATTATGTTTTCAGGTTGTCCGTCCATCTGTCCGTATGTCTGCCTATTGATCCATCCATCCTACTATTGAGAACATGATATCTCAAGTATTAAGACAATTTCTTCAATTTTTTTTTTTTTTTTTTTTGGGGGGCATTTTTAGCCTTTAATGGATAGTGTGATGGGGAGAGAGAGAGGGAGTGACATGCAGCAAAGGGTCACAGGCCAGAGCCGAACCTGGGCCGCTGCGGCAACAGCCTTGTACATGGGGCGCCTGCTCTACCACTAAGCCACCGACACCCCAAAATTTCTTCAAATTTGGCACAAATGTTCACTTGGAATCATTGATGAACTGATTAGATTTTGGTGGTCAAGTGTCTAAGGTCAAGATCACAGTGATCTTGCATCCATCTCATTCTTGGGAATATCTGAAGAGCACCTTGATGGAATTTCTTCAAATTTGGCAAAAACATCCACTCTGAGTCAAGGATAGATTGATTGGAATTTGGTGGTTATAACTCAAAGGTCAAGGTCATTGTAACACCCTCTGTCTCATCCGTTTGAATGTGATATCTTACAAATACCTTGAGGGATTTTCTTCAAATGTGGCACAAATATCCACAACGAGTTAAGAATGATGTGATTAGATTTAAGTGGTCATAGGTCAAAGGTAAAGGTCAATTTGACCTTGTCCGTCCTTCAAATTTGGCACAAATGTTCACTTGGACTGAAGAATACACTGATTATTATAGTTTTTGCTCATTGTGCACATTTTTTATTAGTCATTTTTACCATTAGTCTCTGGTGAGACTCAAATGTAATTGTAATAATGTCTGCGCTTTTGTGTATATAGTTGTGCATCCTCTGACAATTTAGTGAAGCAATGTCCATTCAAAAATGAAAAATATTAATTAATCGCAGCAAAGAACAAGTGTGAGATGAGTATGAATCTTTATGAACATGCCGGTTTTTCAACTCTACACACCGTCACTGATGCATCTTCATTGTTTCTTGTAGAAACTTGTAGCATCACTGCAGCAAATGCTTTTCTTTAAGTTTTAATTAATATTTTGGTCAGCTACTGTATAGCAGGATGAACAAAGGGGGCAAGCCTAGATGATATTATTAATTTTTTCTTTACATTACATTTATTTAGTTGATGTTTCTATCCAAACCACCTTCCAGAAGTTCTTTGAACCATGTGGGTACAACCCCAAAAAGTGCAAGAATCATGCAGGAACATCAACTTTGACCAGCACAGGTGCATTCACAGGTACAGAAACTGTGTTGTGTCTGTTTCCTTAGGGGGAACCTGGTTTGCACGGTGTGAAGGGTATCCGAGGGGAACCAGGACACAAAGGGGATCGTGGTCCACTGGGTCTCCCCGTGAGTACAGCCATGCAACATGTGATATCTCCAACCACGTGATATCTCCAACCACAAAGCCCTGTCCTTTATTTCCTCAGACATCCATAGAAATCTCTCACTTCAGTTTTAGCCCTGTCTGATTTGTTATTGTGCATTAGTGCACATATTTGAGTGTGTGTTTGTGTGTGTCTGTTGTGTGTGTGTGTGTGTGTGTGTGTGTGTGTGTGTGTGTATGGCCCTCTCCATTTTCTGTCCTCATTTTCATGTGCCTGGGCTGACTATTTTGCCAACCTCCCTGTAACACAGTGTAATTTAGTTGTTGTAAACCCTGCCATCAACCTGTCCTAATAACAGTGTTCATCTGGTACTAATCCCGCCTTGTTCATGTCACTCATACCTCCATAACCACGCAGGGAGCCTCCGGCTTGGACGGCAAGCCCGGAATTAGGGTGAGTGTCATGTGACCAAGAGGCTTCACCACCCAACTTCTGCCTACTTTCCTCCCTCTCACCCTCCATACAGTCCCCCCTTTCCCTCAAAATTTACCACCATCACCCCATTTTACTATATTTTACTGTGACTGAAAAGAAAGTTATATACACTTCTGTTTATGTTTACATGATAGCTAGGTCTCATGAGCTGAGTTAAAATTCTCAGGATAAGGACCAGACAGACAGCAGTTACAGTAGGCATCGCAAGGCTCCCGTTTTGTCCCGTGTTGCATTAACTCAGCATTAACACACACTCATACATTAACTGTGTCAGCAGTGTTGTAAATGTCCTCTGTGGCCAATGCACGTGTACTAGCAGCAGCTCTGTGTGCAGGTTGTAGGTCAAACCAGATGGGAATATTGTACAAAATGTGGATGCTAAACAAAATTTTTGCTTTCCATGTGAAAATCAATTTTATTTTGAAATACCTGCTTTAGTCCAATGACGTAAACTCAACATGAGAACACTACTCTTTGCAGGGCATGGATGGGCCTGTGGGTCCAGCTGGTCCAGCTGGGCCGAAGGGTGACATAGTAAGACCAAAATTTAATTTTGTTCTCATATCTTACTGACGATGGAGTGTGTTTGTACTTAAGGTGACTGCAACACTGATTCATTTGTATTAGGGTGAGAAAGGAGCAACAGGCGAGCCAGGACCAAGGGGACCGTATGGACTACCTGTAAGTTTGTCAAGTATATTATCATGTTGAGGCCTCTTATTGTTATCTTTACATACATACATCTTGAATTGCCAACGTGCATGGTGCATTCCAAAAGTTTGGGTTTTCACACATTGGAAACGACAGCTTATGTGCAGTAGCATCACCATTGTATCACATTTCCCTCAGGTTGCAGTGGCAGAAACAAGCTTCCACACTATGTTTCATAACACTGCCATCTTTCCTGAATAGCTGTTGTTGCTAGAAAGGGCAGTGATTTCAGCTATAAGCAGATGGATGATTACAGCTATATTAAATAGGCCCATTTGTTTACTGCTTACATTCCCCCCATTTATTGAACAAGGTATGATTTATGTATGGATGCATGTAAATGTCAGCATTTGTGAAAGTCAACTTCGTAATGATGATGCAACTTGTGTTCTTCATTTGCAGGGAGCTGCTGGAACACCAGGCTTGGATGTAAGTCTCTTAAACTTTGTTTTCTCAGTTTTCTCCGAAGGCAGAGAGGCTAAAAGTCAGTGTGACAGGGAATGCGTCTTCCAGCACAGAAGTGCTTGGCAAAAAAGCTTTTAAATATAGATTAAAAAAACATAAATAGGCTTTTCTAAGTATCAAAAACCAAGCTTAACAAGATTTAACCACTATTATCACATACACCGATCAGCCAAAACATTAAAACCACTGACAGGTGAAGTGAATAACTTTGATTATTTTGTTCCAATGCATTGTTCTGCTGGGAAACCTTTGGACCTGCCATTCATGTGGATACCACCTGACATGTTCCGCCCACTATAAACACCGTTGCAGACCAAGTACCCCCCCTCATGGCAACAGTACTCCCCAATGGCAGGACAATGCACCATGCCACACTGCAAACATCACTCTGGAATGTAGCAAGGAATGTGACAACGACCTCAAAGTGTCAACCTGGCCTCCAGATTCCCCAGATCCCACTCTGGATGAGCATCTGTGGCACGTGCCATTAACCAACCTCACAACCCACCAGACTAAATGGATCTGCCGCCAACGCACTGGTGCCAGACACCACAGGACACTCCCAGAGACCCTGTGTCCATGCCTCGACAGGTCAGAGCCAAGTCCGATCCAAGGAGGTTCCACCTTGGATTAGGGATACATCTGGGGTACCGGCACATCACAAGAATCCTTGAGCAGATTGGGACCTGGGAAATTTAAAAGCCAGTTCAACACCTTTAGCTTTTTGTCACATTCCACAGGCCATTTCTAAACAGTTTTTGCAGTGTGGCATGGGGCTGCCATTGGGGAGTACTGTTGCTATGAGGGGGGGTACTTGGTCTGCAACGGTGTTTGAGTGGGTGGAACATGTCAGGTGGTATCCACCTGAATGCCAGAACCAAAGGTTTCCCAGCAGAACAATGCATTGGAACAAAACAATCAAAGTTATTCACTTCACCTGTCAGTGGTTTTAATGTTTTGGCTGATCGGTGCATATTCCCGAGCCTGTAGGTACCATTACGTAAATGAGCCTGTAAGTCATCAAATACATACCAAAAATTAAAGATAATCTTGCAATAATTTATAAATTTATGTTTATATATTCCATAGCTTAAGTACGCACATTTCCACGATCCAGCTAGATAAAAAGTCATAAATCATAAATAACAATATCCCAGCATTTATCATATTACTTGTGTACTTCATATTCATCATACACTGCGCATATAGCACAGATAATAGTTTACTTTGTTTATATTATGTGGCGCTTCACACCTGGTGCTAATTAGCTAATGAGTAATGGTTAAGTAGTTTGTCCCTAGTCAAGCTTTTGACTAAGACCTTATAACAAAATACATTAAGTTTGTTTTTTGATAATAAAACAAAGCAATTGTTTTGTGCAATTAATTCTGGAGAACTGCTGGTTTCCCCTTTTGTAACTATTTCTAGATCTAAAAACCAGCTACATATTATACATAATATTCTTGTTGATCATCCCTTCACTTTCTCCCACACCTATCAATTTGATCCTGATGTGTTTCCTTCAGCTGTGTCAGGACAAGAACATCCTCTCTGTCTTTGCATAGTAAAGCCAGAGTCATTAAGTGGAGTTGTACTTTTACAGGGGTTGCCAGGCTTAAGGGGAGAGAAAGGCGACGTTGGGGAAAGAGGAGAGAAGGTAGATGTAGATAAGGAATAAATGGCTTGTTAACCCCCTAACATATAATAGAGGACTGGTGTCAATGGACAGTGACAGGAAATATAGAGGTACTTTATCTAGCTGCTTTTATAAGTTTCTCCGAATCTATAGATGGTTGATCAAAGGTAGTGTATACGGGTGGTTGAAAGGAATAGTTTATGCTTCCTAATGATTTTCTTGTATTGTTACAGATATATAACATTTTGATTTTCTCGAGAGATGAACTCATCAACCAGAATTCCAACAAAATAATTTGATAACAACTCTACACGATGTAAAATATCTTTCGCATAGAATATCATCCCCAGTCCCCTCAAACTTTTGTTCTCCACTTTTCAATGATTTGCCATCTCATTTCTCAAAATCACAAGTCAAATTTCATTCTGAGGCATCAAAAAAAATTGTGATTTCAACATGCCAGACCACACAAGTCCATTGACAGCAGGCTCTTAGTTGTTTTATTTCTGTTGTTTCCATGCATGAACATACTTAAAACATGTCACTTCCATGAGTTTCCTGAGCCTGTTGATAACCTCTCCCTTGCTTGTGTATACGGTAGTTTATATCTGTCAGTGCTTAATTCTGTATGTTTCCACACTTACTAACACTTATAATGTGTTTTTTTTAGATGTTTGATGTCTTTCAGAAACTGTATCCCATTCCTTTGTACATAAAGATAAACACAATTTGCATTTGGCGTTTTCACATGCATCCAAAATCACATACTACTGCTACATACCCAATATGTTGTTACATAAGCAGCAGTATGTGTCTTTTCGGACACACTGAGCTTCAATCACCTTCCAAGACCCTCCTTGCCAGATGGAGATGCGTAACCATGGTAACCCATGCCAAACAAGCTACCAAGGAAACTAAAAAGAAGGAACAGTCATGACAACATTGACAGTGTTCAAGGACCCAGACTTTGGTGTCAGTTCTACTGGAGTCAACGGGGCATGCACTGCATATCACACTTTAACCCATCATATCTTTGGCTCTGTCCAGCAGAGGCTGAGGTGTAGCTGCTAGACAGAGTCATGATCTGTTTGGAGACCAATAACAAGGAAAACGAACACACATGTTTAGGGACAAAAATGTTATAAGCATCACATAATGTGTGTTTTTTGATCAGGTGGAAGGATTTTTCAGTCGAAGCTGAAACAACAAAGATACAATGGGTTAAAGTGTGATTTGCCGGGCCCGCCGCATTGACTCCAATAGAGTCTGGCTCCTCGAATGATGTCACTGACGTATAACCTTTCCTTCTTTAAATATTCCTTGTCAGCTACCAAGGTAACTATAAAAGTTTAGACTTTTATAGTTACCTTGGGTGCGTTCGTCAATCCAATCTGACGCTGTGCGCCAAAACGAGAGCCCTTCTATTCCTACACGAGTTAACGAAGTTCATCACACATTCACATCACTTGGCGCTCTGATGCTCCATTTGCCCAGATGGAGTGCCCAGATTACGCTCTGCTGCTCCGAAAGTGTGTAGTTCTGAATGACTGAATGGTAGATCCCAACAGGTCTCTGAATTTATGAAAGGTCCAGTTTGTGCCAGAGTGTGCTCCGGCACTCAGAGTGAGTTTTTCCCAAACACATCCCTCGTCAGCTACTTCATTAAAGAGTAACTAAACCCTAAAACCATTTTTTTCAGCTGATAATCATTGTTTCTGGTTGTATAGTAGTGTTACTGACTGATCCTGCTCAAAATCTTGACAGTTTAGTGCAAACTGTTGAAAATCTACATTTTATTTTAAAAATGTGGTATGGATTGCCCTCTACAGCTTGAAACCTGGTTACTACATTTGAATTTACATTACATTACATTGGAGGCGAATGATTCTTTTTCGAGGCGAATGACGTCACTAACCATCCACGCTAAGCCTGCCCTCCTCCCTTTACTCCTCCCCTTACTATAAAACCATTCTGTCCGCGGAGAGAGCCGAGCCTCAGGGGTGTATGTGCGCCCGGGCTGCGAGGAAGGGAGGGGTGGATGGATGCGGTGGGCTGCTGCACGGCTCCCACAGAGGGAGAAATAGAACCGGCCGCCTTGCCTTCTGCCCGTGTGGCACAGTTAGGGGCGGTTTTCCAAGCCACCATCGGCACATGAATATAAGCTCCACTGTCGGCAGGGTGAAAAAAAGTCTAAGTGTGGAGATGGGGAGAAAGGTGTACAGGGCCGAGCTGCAGCTGCCTTCCCTTCTGCCCGTGTGACACAGTTAGGGGCGGTTTTCCAAACCACCAACAGCACAATGAAAATAAGTCGAAGTGTGGAGTGGAGGAGAGGGACCTCTCTCCCCGCAGCGAGGGACAATCTTCACTCCGCCCCCTTCCTAAGCTGCTCGCCTGTCTCTCTTTGTTTGAAATCGTCTATAGTACAGTTTGTTGAAAATTCACACCATTAACAGTACCGAAATTTGCACATCTCAACTCACGAGGGCTGTACATGTATCTGTGATATTACCTCTGTGAAGCTTAGTACAAAGAAATGTCCTCCTGATGTAATTTCAAGCTCCAGTAACCAGATCATGCATTGGGAACCGTATTTATTTTGTATTTTGTTGTTCTCTAATGCATGTACTGGATGTCATGAGAAGACTAACTCCAACCCAAATATGAAGGGATACAGTTTGATCTTTTTGCACTGTGTAGTAGCTTGAATTGTGTCCTTCTGGAGGTTTTTTCCCTGCTACTCTTTCTCATCCTTTGTGCCCTTGACACCCCTTTTGGCGATCAGCTCTGATTTTTACTCCTTCCTAGCTTTCCCCTTTTTTCGTCCTCTTCCTGTCCTAAGGAATGTTTTTAGAATACCCAAATCTGTCTGGTATCCCCTCCCATCTAACAATGACCATGTGTCTTTCTCCTTTGTGGGCCATGGCCTCCCTTTTAATCACTCCCCTGCTATCTCTTAATATCAGTGCTGTCCCAAATGTTCAAAAAAATGATGCTAACTTGACCAAAACGTTGTATCCACAGGGGGAGAAGGGAAAGAAGGGCAAAAAAGGGCCTAAGGGCGAGAAAGGAGAACAGGGTGCCCCTGGATTAGATGCACCCTGCCCATTGGTATGTCCTAACTGTGAGCTGGGAATCGCCTCCCAGCTGTGTAGAGCAGCTGCCCCAAACACAGATGAGCGCCCTGTGGCTAAACAGATACCCAGCTTCCACCGCATCATAGCAACCTGAAACATAGAGTCCATCACTCTTCTGTAACTCTGCAATTCAGACACAAAAACATGCTGTTAAAAGCCCCAAAAACATACGATTTGGCTGGACCGTGGTATCAGCAAGCTCACAGGGCAGCTCCTCCCACATCAACCCCCCCTTGCGTCCGTCGTAGTGGACGGATGCAGGGGTTAAGGGTCGTCCACCTCTCTCCCAGTAACACTCCTAGGTCATCTTTGCAAACAGGGTTTCCGGGGATTTAAGGGTGAAAAGGGGGAACCAGGGCAGCCAGGTCTGGACGGGCTGGATGCCCCATGCCAATTGGTACAGTATTTCTCTTTTTCCTCCACCTCGTGACCATGCATGCCGCTCACCTGCAGTCATCACTGACAACAAAAACCACGCATGACTTGAGAGCTTGACAGGCATGAACACACCTCATTTTATTCACAACTACATTGTCCATTTATGACTTGTTAAAATGCACCAACATATACTTCACTAACTTGCTAAACGCAAGCAGCCTCTTTTAGATGATACACATTATTACGTGAACTATACAAAATAAACATGAGTATTGATATAACTGATAATTAAATCTATCCCTCTAACTGACTCCTTCCATTCCCTTGATTAAAACTGGAGACAAGTTCTGCTGAAATCCTGTTATCTTCCTGCTGACTTCTCCATGGACCCAGTTACCTTTTAACCTGATGCTAACACAGACTCCTCTACTGATGCCCATACTGCCGGCACATGGACCCCTCTGTTAGTCTGTTAACTCCCCCTTTCCCCTTTCTTGTATTTGTACCAATTGGGCCAGACCATGATGACAAGGGAAACACAATAGACTAAACAGGTTATTGCTCCAGACCTATTCAAGATGAGAAAATGAATTTTGTTTTCATGCATTTTTTGGTGTTTTCTGCTTTTGGAAAAACAAAAACATTGCTGTGTTATGCATTGAATTTTTGAGTAGAGATGTTAGGGGTTAATGTGTAAGAGAAGTCATAGCATGCAGTGTGTAGACAATGAAATAGTAGGTAAGAAAACATTCATATGTCAAATATGCCATCTCATTGAACTACATCTACATTCATTTATTTGAACTAGCTGCAATAACGTGAAGATAAACTCCCTGATTTTGTTCTAGTGTCCCCAAATCGAGCTCAGTTTTGTTTTGAAACTCTACTGCGGGGCAACTATTATAAAATCACAGAGCAGTATCATCGACATATTGATGTGCATGAGCTGTATTTTGCTGTGTATTATGTGCATGAATGAAGAATACAGTCTTGCAGTTGTCATTACATGTAATATTTCACATGATTGTATCATAACACGGGACACTGGGGAAACTTTCAATTTTGAAAGAAATGTAGATCAGTGGTCTCTGAAATACTTTTAATATGCTCATATGTTAGAGAGAGACATACAAACCAGCAGACTCACAGTTTTCTAGCTCCAGGGGGGTACAGTAGTTACTGTAAGTTAAGTTTCTGTTACGTAAAGATCTTTTTGAGGAAGTTAATTACACACCAAGTGCACTAGATCAGAGAAAGTCCAGTTCCTCCCTTAACCCTTTTAAATCTGGATCAACATCTTTCTTGTGCTATGTTCAGATGATATCATAAACATTTAAACTGTCGAAACCTGCAAAAAAATTGGTTTGACTTGTATAGAAAACATGGGTAAAAGGCAATGAGCATAGTTAGAAAACTATCCAAAAAAAAAAAAAACCCTAAGGAAATGTATATTTATAAATATATATTATTATTATATTTAAAATTGTGTAACAGAAAATAGATATGATTCTATTTATTTGATTTTTAGCAACCCTTTTTCAGGTAAATTTGTATTTTTTTTATTACTTTTTTTTTCATACATTTCTCAATGCCTTCTTTCCATGTTTTCGAAAAAAAAAATATAGCTAATTTGCTCAGGTTTCAAAGGGTTAAACTAGACACTGTAATGTCCAATTCTGTATTTCAGCTCAGACATAATGACACACAGTTTAATCCTGTGAGACGGCAGTAAACTGCACACAGGTCGCTCATGTGAACCACAACGTTTGTAATCACCACGTTAAAACAATAGAAATAGTATAATTAACGTTGATACGCTCAGCCCTCTGATTTGATCATATGCTTGTGGTTTGATGCACGCTTTGATTTTACCCAATTTGGCTGTTTGTCCTCACCAAAATGTGGTTTGGAGACATAGCTCTGATGTCTCAGTTGGGCAGGATGGGACAGTTTGTCTCTGCCATGTGATTCGGTCTCATTAATCGGATGCATTTTTGTCATGAATATCTAAAAGGATGACATTTGTTATGTGTTCTCGCGGGGTAAAAGCCACTCATTTAACACACTTGAAATCTTTGTGTAAATGGTGCCTGTTAACAGCAGACCTGCCATTCCTGTTTGTCCTCATGGTTCTTTTCTTCCCTGCTACTCCTCTCTAAACAGGGCCCAGATGGATTACCAATGCCTGGATGCTGGCAGAAGGTAAGACAACAAATTTGAGCTACAGTAACACTACAGTAACGTGACCATCTGTGTCCTTAATTTACATCTGTGTTTATAGAATAGGTTTGGAAAGGTCAATCAAAATCAGAGTATTTTTGTTCACTCAGTGTCAGTAATTTTTTTCCATGTGGGTTTCAGCTTTTCTATGTTTGCATGGGTTTTCTGTGAAACACGTCATAACAATGTATGACTGTAGTGTGAAAAATGTCACTGTTGTCAAACCTGCACAGTCATGAAACAGTGTGAAACATGTCCATCTTCATGTCGTTCTCTCTCCTGTGCTTTTCTTGCAGTGATCACTCTAACCTGAAACGCATGGAGTTTGTAAATAATGCTTCTTTTATGGTATTTATAGTTTTTTTAATGGAAAAAAAATGTCTAAAAGAAAAGAAGTCTATGTGTACGCTGATACAAAAAAAAGAGATAACCGTCCCGAGTGTCACGCTCTAAGCTGCTTCTACTCACATCACCGTGTGGAAAACAAACAACAAACAAAAAAAAAAACGTGTGTGTCCGCTCTCTCACATCCACATCGTGGTGGAGTTCTGATCCTTGGCTGGCGGCAGAACTTGTCTCTGTAGTCTTTGCATGGCTCAGACTGGAGCGTCGCAGCCCAGCCAGATTCCCAGGGGGTGGAAGAAGGAGGAGGAGGAGGAGGAGGAGGAGGAGGAGGAGGAGGAGGAGGAGGAAGTGGAGGAGGATCTGGACTGGCTCTCTAACACCAAATGCTAGGTGTTTTGTGTTGTTTGGTCTCAACAAGCTCACCGCCCATTCATGCAGCACCATTTTCTAAAAGACTAAAAGAAAAAAAAAAAAGAAGAAGAGGAAAAAAAACTGTGCCAAGCAGAACATTGCACCCCGTACCCTGCAAAAGCATGAGTAGTAAACTATATTTATATGTATTGTACATACCTGTCACTGTTTGTGGTTGCGTCATGGCTTCTGCAGAAAACAACACTAACATAAAAAAAACCAACAACAACCCCAGAGCTCTGAATTAGTAATTTCTGCTTTCCTTTAATCTTCCCAAGGGTGTCACGCCATGGCTGGTAGCCTGAAAATCCCCTGAAAGCTAAGTTGTTGGTTATTGTTGCTTTATTGTGGTGATGCCTGCAGAGGGTATGACATCAGCAGGTTTTCACTGTTGCACTCACGTGGCTCAGCATCGTCGTCATCACCATCATCCGTGTGGTGGCTCCCACACCCACACGTCTCCGGACAAGAGGGGAGAACTTAGCAGGCTCACTGCACAGTTGGGAAAACAAATCACGTGGATTTGAGATTGGACAGGCCTGCTGGGGACGCCCGCCCCCCTCTCTGAGCACGGGAATGGATCCCTGCAGGAGAGTCGCTGAGAGTCTCATCGATCTCCATGGAGATCAGCTGGAGCATGCGCCTCTCCTCACAGGCAACTCTGCGAGATCTACTGAGAGCGTTAACAGAATGCAATCATGTTTTCTTCTTTTGACTTTTTGTTTTTTGCTCTCATTCTTTAACATTGTATTTTGTGTATTATAGCCTTCGGTGCCTCAAGCTTTTATTCATTCCTTTATCAGAAATGTACAACTTTATATCATATTTTGGATTATTGGAATGGTGTTTATTTCAGGAGGGTAAGCTTTGTTTGGAGTACTGGAAAGACACACATTGCGCACTGTTTTTCATATGAACTTTACAAGATGTTGAAATAGCATGTAGGTTACAGCTTCACCTTAGCGCACGGTAAGATTGCATCCATCTCGACTGCCTCTGATCTTACCCGTGGTTTTGAAGAAGCTCATTGTTTGTGCAAAAAAACACACACCCAGCAGTGTAACAAATCTGCTACTTGTTCATTCTGGACTTGTTGTATGGGATGTTAGTTGTACAGTGTTGTCAGTTCACTGCATGTACACAATTTATTACTTATGAATTTCTTAAATGTTGACGACAAGCATTGAATTGAGGGTGTGTATCGGAAGTGTAAAGCTTTGTTTCAGGGGTTGGGGTTCATAATCGGTTTTACCTGAACACACAGCAGCTGGTATTTCAGATGTTTCCGATTCAGGGCAGATTATGTTTCGCATTACACCTCATGTGTTGTCTTAAACATATAAAAATGTATATTACAGTGCAAGAAAAGCTAAATTTGACAGACACAGCTAATTGGTCGACGTCCAATGATTCACCACAGTCTAACTGGTGGCCAGTTATGTCACATTCCATATCAGATGGAGCAATAGGTTTATTTTTCACCAGTCATCCTTTCATATTTCTTATATTCAATTTGCCTTCTGACATAGTGGGTGCTATGCAAGGTGATGCTCTGTACTTGTTTTCCTCAGCGTTAGAAATATGCATGAATGATTTACTGTAAGGGCAGATGTGAAACACCAACATTTTGTTGTGACGTAGCAGCAACCACAGGTGGATTTGAGGAGATTTATTTCCATATGGTTTGATTGTACAGTTCATCTCATGGTTATTAAGAATGGGTGCACATCTGTATAGATTATAATGGTGCTATCTGATAGCAGGTCAACAGCAGCTCCGTTGATGCGCTCTACCAGTGGCAAGAACTACACAACAGGTTTCTTTATTGTCGTTGGGGTTTTATGTATGAAACAAGTTTTTCTGTGCATATATTTGTGTATTTGTCTCAGTATTTTAAGTGGTACATTATTTATTTTTCTATAATTTCTTAAATGAAGGCATTTTTGGTTTTAAACAGCATTCCTTTCAGTCGGCTTTTGATGTCAGTTTCCGCTCTTTCTTGGTATCATGAGGAATTTTCGGGGCATCACATAACAGTTATGCAAATGGAACAGTGTGAAGGAAGGCGGTCATTTACGAAAAACCAGACCAGTGTGTATTCACTGTGCATTTATTTTAGATCATAGGCCTTACAATGGTTCGTCTGCTTTTATTTAATTTTGTGTGTCGAAAAGCTAACTATGACAACAGAGTACTGATGGCCTGAGTGTCGACAGGCCTGGCCAATGCAGTGGCGTAAAGTTAAACATCACAGCTTTTTCTCACGCTTCCTCTTTTCTCTCTCTCTCTCTTTCTCTCTCTCTTTGCATTGAATGTAGTTTGATATATGTATAGTGGATTATTAATGTACTGTTAAAATGTGTGCTCATTTGACAAGAAGTGCAATTTATACTTTGGTTAATGTGTGTAGCATCAAATGCAGCTGAAATGTCACATCGTTGTGATCTCTGTAGCTCCATTTGCTCAGTCATGCTACCCTGTGTACCACTACCTGGAAGGAAAATGTTTATTTACCCGAAGACAAAGAAACAAATGTCAACATCAGTTTTGGAACACATTTCCTCAAATACTGTCCCTTCACTCATGTTTCAAAATGTTATTTCCATTATGTAATATTTACTAAATTTTTGCAATGTGTTTTTTTTTTTTAAATTTTGTGATTTGATTTCCAGCCTTTGTTACAGTATTTGTTCTCACAAGTTGCTGTATCTTTAGCATGTGCAGCTAATTTTTTTAATTGATTTTTGTTTTTTATTTGATTGATTGTTTTTGTTTGATTGTTGTGTTTACTTGTTAAATATTCAATTTTAGTTTATTCTGCTATCAGCAGAAGTGCCAAAATATGACATTTATTTCCATATCAGTATTAGCTGAGCTGGTGAGAGGCTCCAAAATGACTCAGTGATAGGCCACATCTGTGTGTTTGTCATAGTTACAGAAATACTCTGAGTCAGGTCTTCCTCTGAAGACACAGTCAGCCTAACACACACCCACTTACTCATCGAGACCTCCCAGATTAAAAGTGGTGGTGTGGGATAATTGACAAAGTAACATCCATCTGCATAATGCTAAAAGACACTGGTCTCTTATCAGAAACTCTTACAGATCTAAACCAATACACTGCAGCCTTACTGAAACAAGTGTATTACCACATACTCTCCATAATAAAACGCAGTCTTGGTGTAGAAGCAAACTCCACATTGTGGCTTTGAGTTAAAACTGCATTTTTTGGGGTTGTGGTATATGTTCAGTTTCTGTTCTGTGTTTGTATTACTCTTTTTTTTACCCACTTGATTGACATTTCTTTGAAGACCCTTGTGTTCACACACGACTATATTTCAAGATGACATTTCATATGACTGTACTGTTGGAGCCAAATAAACACAGTCTTTCAAATACATCAAACAACAGACTTGCCTTTATTGATAGTCCTTTAATATCACATGCAGTGTCTTAGATCACTAAATATTATGTGTAATATTATGAGCCAGGAAAGATATATTCATGCACACTTAAAGCTTGCATTTTAACCCAACTTATATTGCAAATACACAACATATGCAAATTAAAGAACTGTAAAATGGCTACCTTTATATATGCTATTATGCTGTATAATGCCTTGAGGGATTTATTTATTTATTTTTTTAAATTTGGCTGTCCACTTGGATGTAAAGCAAGATTTATGGTTGTGCATAGACCCTACGTGCGTAGCCTACGCACGTCGCCTACGTCGTCGTGAGCATTTTTACTTGTGCGGTGGTGTGTTCGTGCCACTCTGCAGTTACACCTCCAAAACACTAGTTGGTGGTGGAGGTTTCTGTGAAGTGCTGATAAGTGTAGTTGATTCAAAACACACATTAAACATGGCTTAATAGAAACAGTTTCAAACACAAGAACACATATTGGCTTAGCACAAGCTGATGGCATTTTACATTGTATAGATTTGCCTAGCGGCCAGCGATCTTTCCCTCTTCTCATATAAAACCAGGGACAACAGCAACATTTAACAGAGGTAACAGCACTAATATGGCTCCATTACAACTCACAAAGTTCACTGACAAAACAACTGTCCTGTATTAAACACGTTTTCCAAACAAATATGACATGCTAACGTTATTAGCGCCAGCCTATGGCATTTTACATTGTATAAATTAGCCTAGCGACGAGCGGAGATTTCCTCTGCTCACATGAAGCCAGGATAAATCCCGAAGTATAAATCCCTGAAAGATAAATCACACACAAGACTTAAAATGCCATTTTGTGGAGGCTTTACTGTCTTTACAATTTATTGTTTCTTATCTGTGAAACAAAAGTACATACAAGCTTTTCTTCCCTTAAGGGAAATGGTGCCAGTATATAGAAACAGACAGGAGGTCTGTGTCACCGCGACGCGTAGTTACAGTTTTGGGGAGGTGCATGTCAGGCTACGGTGTAGGTTAGCTATGGCATTGATTCAACGCAGAAGTATAAATTAACTTTAAGGATGAACTGATTAGATGTTGGTGGCCATAGGTCAAAGGTCAAGGTCACTGTTACCTTGTCTGTCTCATTTTCGTGAACACGACATCTCAGGATGCCTTGAGGGAACTTCCTTAAATTTGGTACGAACTTCCACTTGGAATCAACAATGATTAGACTTTAGTGGTCGAAAGTCACTGTGACCTTGCGTCCATCTTATTCTTGTTAACGTGATACCTCAACACCTAGAAGGAATTTCTTCAAATTTGGCACAAACGTCCAGTTGGATTTCAGAATGAGCTGATTCGAATTTTATGGTCAAAGCCACTTTGACCTCATGAAACATGTTTTTGGCTCAAACGCAATAATTCATATGCAAATTATGACAAAATTTCACACAGATATCTGATAGGATAGACTCGTGGAAAAGATGATGATTTATATCCAAAAAGCCAACTGCACCGTGATATCATCATGCTCTGCAAAAACTTTACTGGCCATTATTCTACATCATAACTCAGGATCAGGAGGAGAGACGTTTGGTCAGGAACTTAAGATATAAATGACAAAAACAGATGTGTGTAAAGCATTTATGTTTTCAGCTTGCAACTTGACTGGTTCACAGAGGCATCCAACAGTGAGTATTTAATGTAGAGGTGGAGCTCATTTGAATTATTATTTATACAGTTGTTTTTCACAACAATGTGTAATTTTTAATCAGCTAATTATATTTTTAGGTATAAAATATATATTTTTGTGTTGTTTTTTTTTTTTTGTAAATATAGTAAGGTAAAAAATACAATATGTCCCTCCAGTAGTGGAGTAGAAGTATGACTTTTCAGAAATGGAAATACTGAAGTGCAGCTACATCAAAATAGTACATGTACTTACATCCCACCAGTGTGTGGCTGTTAAATAAATGAAGTGGCTACAATATCTGCTTCTGTTCAAGTGGCCTACAGAGTAGAATAAAATGGAAATTCGTCAGTAAAGTGCAGGTACAGGTACAATATGCCTACTTGAGTAAATGCACACTAACACATACACAGTTGTCGTAACATACATCTGTGTCGGTGGGTACCTGTCATACGTCACAGCACTCGAGGCACCTGCATACTGTTGTCAGCTGTAGGAATTCCGGCTAGATGGCAGCACGAGAGAGCTGCGCGAGCCGCCACTTATGTCCGGGTGTTCTCGTGCCTGTCTGCCGGTGCGCGCGCGCGAGGATGTGTGTGTGTATATACAGCCGGGTAATTTGTGCTCGAGCAGATGTAGCTAATTTTCGAGTACGTCGTCCTCCAGCTGGACAACATCAGGATGTCTGCGGAAATATTGGAGAAAAAGAAGACGATAGACCTGAGGAAGAAGCACGTAGGGTAAGATAACTGACATTTTGCAGTTGTATAACGCTACAAAGTTTATATTAAAGATGACAGGCGTTAAGTTATAGCAGCATAGCAGCTCTGTATTTGCCTGTAAACGTTATTACATAAAGTAGTTGAAATTTTTTTTTTTACACCAAACTTTAAAGAATTTGTTTCTGAAATACAATGTATTCATTAATTAGTTCATACATGTGTAGCTAAGCAGCTAATTCAATAGTGGACATATTAAGAATGTGAATGCTTTATCAGTGAGGTTAAAACATACAATGTGGTGTCTGTAGTAGTTAGTATGTTTCCATTACAGTGTTTTGCTGTTGCTCGTGACTTATAATTATAATATATTTACTTGTGTACAACATAAAACCTGTTAAACCAGGGTGAAGGGCACACCTTTACCTTTGCCTAACCTTCGTGTGTAGTGATCTTATCTTAACTTGTACACATTAAAATATCAATATTATCTCCTCCACAGGCCATCTTGTAAGATTTTCTTCGGCCATGACCCGATCAAGATTGTGCGAGCCAGAGGCCAGTACATGTATGATGAAAGGGGACAGTGCTACTTGGATTGCATCAACAACGTGGCTCACGGTCTGTACATCAGATCTATTTTTACACCACATCTATGTCATGGCTTATAACAACATAGACAAAACAAGAACAGAGAGTTGTTCTCTCTCGCAAAGTGTTGTGTTAGGTTTGTGTTCAAATATGCAATCAAAGCTTGAGGTGTCATATCTGAAGACACACTTGACATGACCTGATCTGCTCTACAAAGTTGTCACATAATGTGCACCTAATTTGGGAGTGACTAAAGCACAGGCAAAACAGGAATATATACAGGATGTCTGGCGCACCACATTGACCACTCTTTAATTTCAGCATAACCTCCAATTATGTGCCTTTGGTATTAGTTGTTATGGTATGTTTCGACCAGAAAGTGCAGTCAGATGCCTGAACGTGAGGTCCAGTTCTAACCCTGTGTGCACCCTTTTCCTCCTTTTCTCAGTGGGCCACTGTCACCCGGATGTGGTGAAGGCAGGAGCTCAGCAGATGGAACTACTCAACACCAACTCGCGTTTCTTGCATGACAATCTTGTGCTGTATGCCCAGAGGCTGCAAGCCACACTGCCTGACAAGCTGTCTGTGTGCTACTTTGTCAACTCTGGGTATGTCCACATGTCATCACACTTCTCAAATGCCAAAAAGGAAGATTAGCCAGACTTGTTTTTTTTGGGTGTGGATCAGTAGGTGTTGGCGAAGGCACAGCACGTATATTGATTGGCATTATATTCATGTCTTCTCTTCTATCTACTTTACTTACTTGAACTTCAGCCTTTCCCCATTAGCAGCGATATATTTTTGCTAAGTTGCTAATGCTATAAATTGTAAGATAAAAGGGTATAGTCCAAACATGTGTGGCTATGCTACTGTAATCAAGAAGGGAAAAAAACAACAGTTGTCTCAGCTGATCATCCTGCTCATCTGGATTTTCAAGTATGATAATTCTCCTGAATTAGAACAACAGCAATATTAGTCTACCTAATAACACTTTGAAAGTGAAAAGTTCCAGCTCAGCCTTCATGGGCCATGTCTAGACTTCCACAGAAACAAACTACAGCATTATATAACGCATGTCCAGCCCTCTCAGTCTTCCTAATAGTCATCAAACTGCACCAGTCTGGTGTGGTTACTTATTTACACCACTTGCTGGAGTTCTGCAGTGTGAACAGGAATTATCTGGTCAAGGGTAATAATGTTGTAGATAACGATCCATATACACTCAATACCAGACTGCATACATGTATTTATCAGTCACAGGGAAATAGGTGCCTTGAGAGAAGTTATAAAACAGACAATACAGAGACGTTATTACTGTAAGTATTTTCTAAGGTGTGTGTGAGATCTGGGATGAACTGGAACACCTCAGGGACTGTTCTTTATTTATCAGAAGAGGGATGCGTGACCCTCTGTTCCTGTATAATCCCACCAAATGTAGGTATGGAGCTAATGCAACAAGCAAACAGCGCACTTCAGCAGAATATGGCTGCATGAAAGCCATACACAAAACCAACAAACATTAATAAGCACACACATGCACACAGCAACATGTGTATATAATGACTGTTTTGCCAGAATAAACAGTTTGGAAAGTATGTCTTAGCCTTTATACGCACACAACAGTGACAGCAGCAGCCAGAATATCAGTAACTTGGCATGGTGGCTGGTCTTAGATTTAAAAAACTTAAAAGTTAAAAACAAAATGCTGGAGAAAAAACCTTTTGCAATCAATCAATCAATCAATCAATCAATCAATCAATTTTATTTATAAAGCCCAATATCACAAATCACAATTTGCCTCACAGGGCTTGTGCAAGCACACAGGAATGCAGTTTTTTTTCCCGGATCTGTTTAGTGCAAACGGTTTCTATTTGGTTACATTTTACATGAGACGTAGAAAAAAGTGATTGTGATCACTATTTTTTTTAACTTAGATTTGAATGTGTGTCTTGATAGAAGCATTCCTCACACATGATGTGTTCAATGACTGTCAGAAACTTGAAAATCTGACGATAATTTCTGTTTTCACAGTTTCTAGCTCTTTTAAAAAAAGAAAACATGCCTTTTTAACCCACTTGCAGGTTTTGGACTTCTGATGTTAATCAAAATAAATACAAGAAAGAAAAAAGATTCCTGCACACTGTTGCCAAACTTGCAAAATATTTAATAGGACAAGGCAGCTACGTTTTGGTCATTACAACCTTCGTCAGGCAGACCGAAACGTAGCTGCCTTGTCCCATTAAATATTTTGCAAGTTTGGCAACAGTGTGTGGGAATCTTTTTTCTTTCTTGACCTGCTGAAGTTTTTTCCTATGCACCTGTTCAGGAGACTCTTCAAAGGTGTGCATGAGCTAGGTTTTTTTTTTTTTACTTTTTTTAAAAAATCAAAATAAATACAAAATACGACCATTTCGACCAAGTCGAATGTCCCTCCCCTTAGTCAAATCAAAAAATGTAACTCCCTTACTAGTGCTTAAAAAATAATAAATAATAAAAGTGTCTCACCCGTTTTTCACCACCCCCTCCCCTCTGATAAATAACGAACAGTCCCTTACTAACAGTGTTGCCACACATTCTCATGGACAAAAATGAAAAGCTTTGCCATGACTTTTAAAGGACCCGTAATAATTTTTATTTTTCTTGCCCCACTTGCCTGGCATTTTTATAACGTATCAGATTCAAATTCTATTCACTCTATAATTTAAGATAGCCGGCATACGTGGAAGAAGAGAAGGAACACAGGGAGAAAAGAAAGAAGAAACAATGTTGTCACACATCGACACTTATTAGAGCTATGTTAAGTCATCAGCTACAGAAAATAGGTTTGCCGTCCTGTTACCTTACGTGGAAGGTTATCCACAGAAGGTTTCTGAAACCCTTTTTTTTTTTTACACAACAAAATTCCTTGACGCCTCCAAAACTTTCAATGATTTTTACTAGCTCCATGACTTTTCCAGACCTGGAAAATGTGCAGCATAGCAACATATTAATGCCCACAGTTTTGGAATTAAATATTTAACAATCACATATGGATACTGTGTTGTGTGTCCACATTATGCCGTTATTGTGGCTATCTAGTGTAGAAAAAACAAGTCAAAATGGAGGCCATGTACAGTATGTACATGTTACCAGCTCTTTTGTTTTGTAGTGTGATTCCATTTTCAGCCTGCAAAAGTGGTGTAGGTCACTAACTTGAGTGGTTTATGTGTCAGAGGTTGCCTTTTAAATTGCAAGTTAAAATATAGATAGGGCAAATACGCCAGAACAGGATCATTCTAATGAGTCTACAGTTACTGTTGAGCTGACACGTTCATAGAAATGTAGATATAAACTCTGCTGATGATACTGTAGAACCAAGTAAAGAAAAATATGTTTCTGAGTTGAAATTAGGGATGTCCCGATGTGATCTTAAAGATGGGGATCAGGGCTGATCGAGGCATTTTTTAACTGATTTAAATGAGACCCCAGGACTCTGTATGGGTAGATACTCAATATTAAATGACTCAGGTATGGATCAGGAGCAAAAAAAAACTTGTTTGGGGCATCCCTAGTTGAAATAGCTTCAATATCTCACTGAGATTTTCAAGCGTACTTCATCTTTACACTCCATTACCAGTGTTTATAAATAGGTGTCACTTCATTTGCCCTCACATTGGGAAGTAAAACATCAAACTGTGACTGACGTACTTGTGACACCCATGGCTTCACCTGTGTATTTTGTGGTGACTGAGTAACTTAAAGTAACCCTTGCCCCTTTCAACTTTAGCTCCGAAGCCAACGACCTGGCCCTCCGACTAGCATGGCAGTACACAGGCCACAAAGATATCATCACATTGGAAAAGTAAGTGTTACTGCCCGGTCATTGTTCAAAAACACCTGGTACGGTGCCAGGCAGGCAAAATGAAAGCATGCAGATAATGATGAGCGATGAAAGTCCTTTTGTTCAGTGTATTTCTTATGATATACTTTTGTATGGTGAAATACTTCTGTCCTCAGATATCCATGTTTTGCACGCTCCACATGGTATTGCAGCTAAGATGATTTGGTCCATGGCCCGTGTTTGCTTTGTTTGCAGTGCGTATCACGGCCATGTCTCATCGCTCATTGACATCAGTCCTTATAAGTTCCACCACCTGTCAGATGCTGAGCGGAATCCATCTGTCCATGTGGTGAGTGCTTTTCCCTGTCTGCCTGCGTGCACAGTATTAAAACACCATGACTCAACTTGTACTCCTGGGTGTTGGCAAGCTACTGAGCATGCACTCGTTGCACGGGGATTAAGGTGTATAGATTAAGGTGTGTGTGTGTGTGTGTGTGTGTGTGTGTGTGTAGAATAGTCAGAGGCATGAAACACCAGTATTTTTTTCTACATATTCTGGAGGGCAAGGTGCAACCAAAGTGCTTTTGAACGGGAGGCATTTTCTGGTGACTTGAGGCACAAGAGTTTTAGCTTCCCCGTGAAAACACTTTTTTTAATCACAGAGGACAGCGAGAGGAAGGGTGGCGGATTATTATTAACCAGATAGCCCAGTCCTGAAGACCAACATCTCAAAACTACACAACTTACTGGCGGCTTTTTTCCTTTTAGTCAAAAGCACTCATCATGATAAGATGCTTCGAGAAACACAGTGATTTAAATTCTCCTGCACAATCACTGAATCTCTACCTGAGGAGAGCCTCTGGAATGAGGCAGAACAGGAAGGTTATGTCCTGGGTGTATGCCCGAAAATATGCACCATAGGCAGCCATGTGCGAAATTGGAGCTATTTTTCCAGCTCATCTCCAGGAGTTGAATCGTAGGCAAATCATATTTCTGCAGTGTCTTATTTAGATAATTGTTTGTTTGTAAAATGAGTTTCTGTTTCTGTTTTTTTAAATCCCCCGTCCATTCCAATAGAAGGGGATCTGAGTGTCACTGGAAATTAATCAGATTCAGTTTTCTAATAATATAGTTAGCTTTTAATGTATCCTATTGATTATGTCCACAGGATATTTATCTCAGGAGGTTTTCGACACACTGTTTTCTGGAGATACTTGAGAAATTAAGGATATTTTGAGTAGTGGTGACAAATACAACACAAAATATATGTATATACAGTGTGTTTTAAGCATCATGTTATTTGTTGATATGAGTTAACTATTCATGAAAAATAAATAAATGCGTGATTTTTGTTGAAAAACGGTCTTTGAAGACCTTTTTACTCGCGGTTTGATTCTCTGTCCACTGGAATGGTCAGAAAAAAAGTATTTTAATCAGTGCGTTCAGAGAAGAAATCTACCATTACAATATTTTGTGTGTGTTTGGAACAAAATTGGGTTCTGAAGGGGTTAAGTGTGACTCATACTGCAGACAAAAAGTCAAGCTATATGTATTTTTTAATCTGTCAGATCCCCCACTTAATGGAAGTGTTATACGAAATAATTGTTGTATGCATGTATGGCTTTGAGGTTGTTTTGAAAGTTAACCACACAATCTGGAGTGAACAGTCTGTGAGCAGACAAGCTAAAATTATACACCCAGAGTCCTCCCTGCATTGTGTTGCAGGCGTCTGTGCACTCTGCTCTTTTCCTTGATGGCCTTGGTGAAGCTTGATATGGCAGCTTGTGGAATACCCAGCTCTAGTGTCACATGCCAAAGGTGTGGCAAGTCAGTCTGCTTTGCCAGCATGCATATTTTTTTCATGATCGTAGACAGTAAGGGATTAAGCTGCGGTTGAAATGCTAGTCGACCAACATTGCACACAGTCCAGGGTAAAATGTAAACACAAAGATAACTTTCAGAGACATATGTAAAATCATAAACATATCCGCATAGTATACTGTTTTGGTTGTTACTTTTAAAACTTAATGTCACAGGTGTGTTAACAGGAAAATATGCAAGAGCTGTGTCAGCAGACGTCATAAATATCTCCTTGTCATTGTTTTCTGAGATGCTGCTGGACTAGTCTTGCAACTGTCTACAATTAATTACATTTTCTCAGCTATTTTTGTTATGCATTCCATTGTCAGATATTAAGCACATTTTACACGAGTACTGACACTTTGCATTATGTCTCTTTTGTGCCTGAATGTGACTCTGTGTTCGTAATAATCTCAGTGTCTCATCCCCTATACAGGCTCCTAGCCCAGATGTGTACAGAGGCAAATACAGAGCGGACCACCCTGATCCTGCGACAGCATATGCAGATGAAGTAAAAGATATGATACACAAAGTCCATGAAAAAGGAGGCAAGGTACAGTTTGTGTTTGATATTGCAGATTTAATTGAAAGAGAGACCTCAGAAATGTCTAACGTATGGCCTCACGTGTTAATTGCTTGATTGTCTTTTCAAAGGATGACTCTTTTTTAAGGAAATGGCCCTAAATTACAGAGGAAAAAAGTCATATATGACGTGGCAGTTGTTTTGTTTGTCGCCCTTTTATTTATTAACACCCATTCCATTTTCCACCTTCTCCACTTTCTTTTCTTTTCTCCTCTTTTACCTTTTCTCCCAATTCTCAGGTTCAAGCCGATCACTCTGGTTTTTAGACAACATGTGGAGGGGACTCTTAGTGTCCAATCTTTGTTGGCAGCCCAGCTCTGCTTCCAGTGGCAAGTGATGCAGGATTTTAGTTCAGGGATTATAAAAAAAGCAGTTTGCAATGGCTGTTTGTGCAGATATCAATCTACAGAAAGAAACCCAAACAGACAACGACTGGAGACGTACATGAATGTGATTAAATTTTGCCCTCCTCTGCTCTCTGTGTATAATAACTGTGTACAAGTGAATACACTGGCAAGATTTTTCTGCTTTACTTCACAGTGACCGACAGTAACATGCTCATGACGGAAGGAGATCTACGGGTCAAAGATGCCAGAACTCCTCCTCTTTTCCAGTTTATCAGTCTGGCTTTAGATTGATAGACCTGGTGTTTTTTCTCTTGTGCAGATTGCTGCTTTTATTGCTGAGTCATTGCAGAGTTGTGGCGGGCAGGTCATTCCCCCCCTGGGCTACTTCCAGCAAGTGGCAGAGTATGTACTCAAGTTATTCCAGACATTAATTCACGCTCAGTCTCAGTGCTTGAAAGTGTTTTTACTTACTCTTTTATGCAGAGCTGTCATTCTGAAATGACAAACTAGCTGCAGAACATTTAAAGAATCTTCTTTAGATGGCTCCAGACTGTGCCACAGTAGTCAAACCTGTCTTGTGTGTTAATGCATTTGTGAATGTGTGCCTTATTTAAAGAATGAGTAACTAACTTGAGTTTATCTCTACACCTTTGGATTTTTCTGCCCCTCTGCAGACATGTCCACAAAGCAGGGGGCATTTTCATCGCTGACGAAGTCCAAGTGGGCTTTGGGCGCGTTGGCACCCACTTCTGGGCCTTCCAGCTTCAGGGAGAGGACTTTGTGCCGGACATTGTCACCATGGGAAAGCCTATTGGCAACGGCCACCCCTTGTCATGTGTGGTCACGACCAGAGAGGTGGCAGAGGCCTTCATGTCATCAGGAATGGAGTATTTTAATACAGTAAGAGCATTATGGAGAATAATGAGAAACTGTGCAATTAATATATTGAAAAAAAACTTTATTTTGTGCCAAACTTATGCAAAATTCTTAATACATGGTTTAAGTAAAGGGCACATTTTTGAATTATCATGTAGTTATTGAGATCTGCAAAAAAAATAAAATTAGAAAAGCAGATTGCGGAGAAATTCCCAAGTTGACCAAAAATGCCAGACTAGATCCCCTCATCCTTGACATGATGCTCTTGTCCATATTCGCCAGGCGCATCGACACATCTGTTTTCCACATTATGGGAAAAATACATTCCATCCAAGATTTTCATTGAGAACCTCAGATTACAGCTCTTTCCTGTGAGAATAGTCGGGTGTCTGTTGGGGCGATAAGTTCAGCATAACCAAAAAGACTGTGGTGACTAAGTCTGTCACATATTTAATGCATCAAACTGTCTCAGAGCTCTGCCCTCAGTGTACAGAAGCTCCCGATGATCAATCAGCTGCGTGAACGTAACCTTGGTGTAATCTTTCCTCCACGTTTGGGTTTTGAATTTCTCAGTTTGGCGGTAACCCAGTGTCGTGTGCCATCGGTCTGTCTGTCCTAGACGTGATTGTGAAAGAGGATCTCCAGGGTAATGCCCTGCGTGTGGGGCAATACCTGACCAATCTGCTAGAAAAGCAGAAGCAGAAGCATCCACTGGTTGGTGATATCAGGTATGCAAATACACACACACAGTTACAGTATGTGCTACAGCTGATTAGCTCTGTGTATGTCCTGTAAAGCTGATCCAGAGCACTGCTGATTATATCTGACTGATACCAGCATATGAATGTCATGTTTCTGTAATCCCTGGACCGACATGTAATTCAGTGACTCCACAGTTAGACATAATGAGACATAGAGATGTCTGCCTTCTCTTCAGTATAATTCAACTAAATGATGAGATGGCACTCGGCTTGTGAGGCTCAAAACGATGATCATGAACCAGAACATGTTGCTTATATTCCTGAGATGTAAGCAGAGGTCAGAGATGACTAAACAGAATGTCACATCCTGCAGGGGGCGTGGCCTCTTTGCTGGGATGGAGCTTGTGAAGGACAGGTTGAAGCTCACTCCAGCTACAGCTGAAGCCCAAGAAGTCATATATAAGTAAGTGTAAGTGTGAGAACTCAGAGAGGCTGCTTAGATTATACTGCCTTGCAGCATTCACTGTTGTCTGCTGAGAAAACTGCAACCATGTTTCCTCAATTGTGTTTAGTAAAGAACACATATCTCATATCACCACAAAAAGCTTATACATTTACAGTGGGATAATAAAGTTAAATAATAATAACTGCATCATATGTACTCAATATTTGAAAGTAGGAGCTTATTATAGCCTTTCAGTTATTTAGTCATGACATCTCATTTATGTAGGTGTTTCATGTTCAGCTTTTGAAATCAAAATGCTGCCATTTATAGTATTTGTAATTATTTTTAAGACACCAAACAGTATCCGTTCAATCATATTAACCTTGACAATTGTTCTTCCTGTTCGTCATGGGTGAAAGGTGTGTTTATTGATGACATTACAACAGTGTCGTTGGAATAAACGCTCACTGGAGTCTCCTAATTAACAGCATAATTTGCAAAATGAATCACAGAATTTTAACGTCACAGAACTTTGTTTATCACTCATCCAGCTATCTCAACTGCAGGTGTTCGGCATCACAAGTTCTTGGTTCTACTAATGTTTGGGACCTTTATCAAGAGTGTTTCGAACTCTTTCACAGCGTACATTTTGCCATGGCAGGAGAAGCACAGGTGTGATTACTACCATGACTTAAGGCTGCAGGAGCCATCGTTAGTGTTATCAGTTCCACCTGTGCTTCTCCTGCTATGAGCAGTCAGAATGTCTGCGGTGAAAAACTTAACCACGTCATTAAATTGATACACAGTGGAGAATAATTCATATTCTCTCCCAGGCTAAAGGAACAGTACATCCTCCTTAGTGCTGACGGACCTCATCGCAATGTGCTCAAGTTCAAGCCTCCCATGTGCTTCACTACAGAAGACGCTGACCTGGTGGTGGGGAAAATCGACCACATTCTCACAGGTACGTCCCATGTTCCTGTTCCTTTTTTTCCTCTGTGGTGTTGTGTCATCTTTCTGGCTCGTGCATTATTTATGTACAAGGATCAAGGTGGACCGGTAACCTGCTATCGCTGAACAAGCTCTCAATCATGTTATTGTGTCTGTGTTTCCAGAGCTTGAGGAAGCATTGGGCATGAAGCTGAACAACACACTGAGTGTAGAGAATGAAAGCAGTAAAAGAAAGGTAAGTGTGACTCTGTTTCCGAAATTGTATCGTCTTAAAAGGTGAGAGAATTCAATAAACTCAAAGGGCCAAACATAGAGAAGATCAACGTATGATAGACAACCACAACACATGTCTACATTTTCTTGATTTTCCACCCTCACTGATTTTCAATTCAACTTGATCTCTTCACGGTTTTATCTCAAGCTGCCGGCTGATGAAAATGGACACCAGTATCACAGTGGGTTAGAACACAACAAAGGGAGCAGTCGAGGAGCTCCTCAACAAACCAAACGCCTCAGGACATAACGCTGCCTCCGAACAGTCAGAGCTGTGACGTAACAACACTTACGCTTTCACATAGTTAAAGAACTGGGATCAGACACTATAAAGACAAAAGTGCCTTTACATGTAACCTAATGAAAAGTGTTTTTACATTAATAATGATAGACTGTATATCTCTGAGATAGCAGTGTCTTCTCAGGTATTTTAATTTCTGCCAACATTAACTTGACCATGATTTTCAGGGAATTTTAATGTTAATAAATCAAACGGTATTATGTTAAAACATTCAATTGTTTTCGTTGCTTATAAATGTATCCCAGCAGTTTGTGGTTAATAGTATGTTTTCAAGTTTGACTTTCTGTCATTGAAGGTTTGTACTTAAATGGAAAGAAATAAGAAGATGAATATCTTGTGGACAATTTCAAGAGCCACTGATAAATGATAAGATGAATGAAGAGGGGAAATGAAGGAAAATATTTGTTGGGTAACACTTTACTTGAAGGTATTTACATGACACTGTCATGAACTTGTTATAAACATTATGTACATGTCATAAACGTTTGACTGCTGTCATTAAGTGTCATTCGGTTTTTGTAATGACAAGTTGACATTGTTTGGGTTGTCTTGATTATGACAACTTGACATAAAGTGACATTAGCAGAAGTTGTCTTTGTCATGACAAGTTGACATTAAATTTGTTTGGGATGTCCTGGGATAAGATAAGATACACCTTTATTGATTTTTTTTCCTTATCTGCTGCGAGGGTCATAAGGACAGAGGGATGTTGTATGCTGTAAAGCCCTGTAAGGCAAATTGTGATTTGTGATATTGGGCTTTATAAATAAAATTGATTGATTGATTGATCCCATAACTGAGAAATTCCAGATGTCCTTATAATGACAGCTTGACATTAACATAAAGACATCCTCTGGTAATGTCATGCTGGTTAATGTCAACTTTTCATAATAAGGACATCCCAAACAAATTTAATGTCAGCTTGTCATGACAAAGACAACTTCTGCTAATGTCACTTTAATTAATGTCATGTTGTCATAATCAAGACAACCCAAACAATCTCGTGAACATGATATCACAGGAACGCCACAAGGGAATTCACTCAAATTTGGGACCAATGTCCACTGGGACTCAGAGATGAACTGAGCAGATTTTGGCGGTCAAATGTCAGTGTGACCTTGCAACACATGTTTTTGGCCATAGCTCAAGAATTCAAACGCCCATTGACAAAATTTCACACTAATGTCTAACAGGATAAAATGAAGTGATTGATTTTATATCAAAAAGTTAAAAGGTAAACTTCAGTGTGATGATATAATGTTTTCTGTCCATTATTGAAAGCCGTATCTCAGGAACACAAGGGGAGACATTTGGTCACATACTGAATTGGTGGGTTGAAGATGTGTGTGAAGCATCAGTATTTAAGAATTTGTGGGGGGTTTTCAGCATCATCCATATTTTAAGTATCGTCTACTGTCATATGGGTGTGGACAGACATGGATGTAAACTGTAACTTGACTGGTTGGTGGATGGAAACAACTGTAAGGCAGTAATTATAGTTTTGTAGATCCAGTTTATACTTCCTGATTGCATTAGGCATTGATTAACAATCAGTCTTTGCCATATGTTTTATCTGTGGAGAATCTGATGCACAGTATTAGGACTAAGGGAACTACAGCTGTGAACTCCATTTCCCATGTGTATCTGCATGACAGCACAGGTGTGCTTAATTTGATGTCATTATAAGCTCTGGGATTTCCTTATGTCAAAGATTTGATTTATTGTCTAGCGAACAACAGCGACCATTAAATTCTTGCATTGGACTCAAATATGCAGTCTTCTTTCTTCCCATTTACTTTTGACTTTTTGGAATCTCTTGTCATAATTTGGGTGATCTTAAGTATTGAGACTTGCTCTCTAGCAATATATTTAAACTGCCTTGGATAACTTGAAACACAATCTAGACATAGAGAAAACAAAGACAGTGGAATATGAATAATGGCGAACAGAGTCACATCTTAATAAGGTACTAATAAGCAGCTTTCAACACTAGTTATGTTGTTTAATGTGCATATCCATGCAGCTGGAAAATAAAGATTAATCACTATTCACGATGCAGACAGTTGTTCCCTCCCTCTGAGTCTGAGGAAAGACAGGTTTAAGAGGTGCCACAGCCAATTACCTATTGTCAACAGATGGTGTTTTTAGCCATGCCAGCATCTTACGCTGTGTGTAATGGGGTGTACTACACGCACCACTGAGCCAAATAGCAATAAAGATGCACAACTGTGAGGTACTTCTGAATTTGATCTCAGGTAATAAAAGACCCAGAACAATACGGCCATTGATATATTGCTTGTGTCAACTCTTAATAGCTTTAAAACCTGGCATTAACTTAAGAAGCAATAATTATAAGCATCTAATAACGTTTGCGCTCAGGATGCATAACCATATGAAATCACGTTAGTGTTAAAAGCCTCCAAATTTGAGGCTCATGACTGTCCGGTGTTGCCCTGATACTGGAGGTTACTCCTCAGTGCAATGCAGCAAAGACCAGAAACACTACTCCCAGGTGGAGTTAGGACGCCACCTTCTGGGGGACAAATTACAATGTCTGTGAGAAACACATCTATCCATTGGGTATGCAAACAGCCATACACAAAACGTACATTAATCCTTGCCCAATGTAGTTCTTGATATGTTGATGTAGACTGTGTTTATAATGGACAACAGTATATACATGACGACTGCACAGAGCTCTGAAAAGAAGATTTATTTCAGGTCCGTGTACAAAAATGCAACTGTGACAAGGCTTTTTCAACGATTTCTTTACAAAAACGTACAACTTAAACATCAATCTGACTCGGCTCAAAATGACTCATACAGTGCTAATTTTGATTTCATATCTGTATCTCCATGCCAACAGCGTTCAGCTACTTCCTTTCCTTTTTCTTCTCCTGTGGCGGAGAGAAATTTCACCTGCTGGCACTTTTAACTGAAGTTAAATTTCTCAGGTTTGCTACGGATGCACAATACTCAGTGATGTATTTTATCCTCTGCTGCATCTGTTTGTTTGGAAATAAAAGAGGAAGTCGCTGAACACCAGTGAGACAGAGCCAGTGCGAGACTGTCAGTGCAGCCAGGTCTAATTTCTTGAGCAAGCTCAGTGCTTGTAGTCCTTAATGGTTGTTAATAATATCAAAAGGTTGTGTTCATCCTCAATTTTAGTTGGGTTCTGATGCATTTGATGTCCTGCGTCCGTCCAAATCGTTTCAAGTGCGCTCTCTTTGTCTTTAGCCCATGAGGTATCCTCTGCAAAGACAAAATATATTTGTTTAGACACCGTGACTCAACAAATGTCAGTGTACAGCAGCAGGATTGCAGACTGTAGGACAGATTTGTGTTTGAATAGGAAATATCACACGTGCAGGTGATTTCTCAACTTTAATTAACTTACGGCAGCTTCATGCGCATGAACACTCTGGCCATAAAGAAGCTGAGGAGCACGCTGACAAAACCGATGAAGAGCAACAGGAAGCGGTTGAGTTTGGGAATGTTGGGTGCGTTGGAGCGGTCCAGGATTATAAAGCCCAGGCCTCCCATCGTGAAGAGGAAACTGGATGCCAGTCCTTCCATAATGTACTGGCCGTTTACTCTGAAAAACAAATGTTTTCATTTGCTTTAAATTGTTAAGTGTTAATTTGAAAATGACATGGCCATCATCAAATAGCTCCTTGCTTCAGCTGTGGTTTGTTGAGATGCTCACAGTGTTTTGGCTGACATACCTGTATGCCAAAAAGGCCACTGGTCGCTGGTGTCCATGCTCATCAGTCATTGAGCCCACACTTGGAGGCTCCACAATAACATCATAGATGATACCTACAATACATGGGAAGTATGAGTAGTAGTCACACTATAAAAGAACAGGACTGAAGTCTGAGTAGCGTCACAGCTCATTAATCAGAAAGCTGATCGTTTCAGATGCAGAAGAGCTACTAAATCTGACTAATAGCGTTAGTGCCGCTAACCTCGTTTGACTTTTTGATTGTCAAATAGACCAAAATGCAGTCTGGTGCTAGCTAACTGTAAAGATAGCCTAACTTACTCTCTTATTCTATAACTGCATTAATGCTAGCAAGCTATTTTACCATTGCAACCAAAGCCTACAGTGTCCGGCATTATTTCAACCTCACATGAATGAGCTTTAACTTCTTTATCACACACTGAGACGATGTAGATTTATCGTTAACAAGCTAGCAGTCTTGCATTGACGTTAGCTTAGCAGAGCCATTTACCTCCTGTGATGAGAAAGTAGGACACGATAACGACCGCATACACAGTCATAGCCGACGGCATATGCAGCCATGATGGTTTCTTCAGTTTTATATTTGGGCATTCCAGCACAGTGAACGGTATACTGTATAATACCTCCATGGTTTATAGAAAGAAGTTGCCTATCGATACAGGAAAGCTGCTGCCGCTGGGCGAGATCCCTCTGCGCAGCGACTATGTTGACGTGTCCCGGAAGTACTCTTTGTCTACGTTCTATCATTTCTAAAAACATTGAACAAATACATTTTTATATGGCGATTTTAATATGAAATGCATTTCAGCAAAAATATTTTCCTGATGGTTTTATTAAATCTATGATAAATTATTTACCAAATTAAAATTCGGGTGTGCGTGACGTAAATTTAAAGGGACAGTACATAGGTCTTTGAGAGAATCACTTTCTTCGATACTGCAGTCTTTACTGTCTTTTCTTAAGTCTATGACCACAACCTTCATGAGTTGAGCAGTTTAATGTATTTCATTGACTTGGTCCAGTGCAGTATCTGTAAATGGTTAATACTGTAGATAACACAAACATATCAGATTTCAAACGGCTTTTGATTTTCAGCTGCTTAATCATAGCTTGATATTTACCTAATGCCAGCTCATATACTGATTCACATCAAAATAATTACTCTAATTCAAATCAGAGCTTTTCCAATCTTTGCAAAACCATAACATATCTGTGTGATGAGATAGAATCAAGAAACCACATTATCGTTGAGTCCCTTTTAAATCCTTCGGGGGTTCATCCACACTTCAGTGTCCATGCCAGGAAACAACTTTTCTAATAGGTCAGGCGTCATGTTTTCTGACAAAGCTAGTAAAAATGTCGACATTACTCTGCATTACTACTTGTCACTTAAAAAAATAACCCTCTATTAAACTAGTGACACAAAATCTTTAATTGTAGCCCATATCGTATTTTGCCACATGTAAAGCTTCATTCAAAACGTAGAATAATCATTTTCTTACAATCCTAACACTTTTAAATGGTATTTCTTCAAAATATCTGCAACAAACCTTAATCAATCAAGGCTCTCAAATATCACAAACCTCAGTCATACAGATGTCCACATTTTCAATTAAATACACCAAGGCATTGCATGGATTTGTTTGTCATTTTTTATTGTGGCAATACAAATACACATTTTACTTAGATTTCTGGCTCTGTGCCTGCGCCTTGAGCACCTTGACGACGATCTTCTGCTCCTCAATCAGGAAAGCACGCTTGATCCTGAGGGTAAAAGCAAAAGAGACAATTTAGACACAGCTTTAGCCATTTAAAACTCACACAGCGTTTCTCAGCAAGACAGTCAGGGATGAAGTGAAATGCTTCTTACCTGTCACGCACACACTTGGCGCACATGGAGCCTCCGTAGGCCCTGCTGACGTGCTTCTTGGTCTTAGAGAGCCTCATCAGAACCTGAGGTCTAACAGCCCGGATCTACGAGACAGAGCAGAATAACTATGAGACCACAGTACGCAACATGTACTGACTACTGACTGACTAGAGAATAAACAAAACCCAAATCAGGTAAGGTTGATGTAAATATATTCAGATGCAGTGGAGCAGCTTACAGTCTGCATGGTTAAAAACCAAACTTCAGACTGTAAGCTGCTCAACAGAAATGACAAAAAATGTTTTCAAGCATCCTAAAAAAGATGGACGATGTGAGCAATGCACTAATGACGAGTTTATGCTTCTATGGTCGCAACTGTAATACCTGTATGACGTCTTACAATTCAGTGCGCGGTTACGATGTGCCACACTTTATACTTAAATGTTCCTAAATCAACACGACTGCTTGATTGTGACCTCAAGAACATAATGTTGCTTACATTGCTGTGCTCTTCTGCTTACAGTGGTACATTTTGGATTCAGACCTTAGACCACAGCGAAACCTTTATGCACAGATTAGATGTACGGTAAGAACCAGTTCACAACAAGCAGCTCACCAATCTGAACAGTGCTTATTTGTGAGACCTCGTTCTAAAGCCAACTATTTAGAGCACAGATTTCATTAAGGTGCCTTGTTATGTTTTCAAGTGTAATATCTTAACTTACCATCTCCATGCAGGAGATTACACAACTCCTTTTTGATTGGATCTCATAAGGTCACATTTAGATACCTCCAGCCTTTCTTTGCCATTTCTGTTGTGACATTTATGGACTGACGAACATCAATTTTCACATTAATTCACTAAGCCTAGTCTTCAGTCTTAAAGTTGGGGAAAATGTTGAATAGCAAGAGGCAGTTCTAGTACTCCTGGCTTTAACCTTAAGGATGCAAAGTTTGAAAATAAAAAAAAACATCAGTAATGCAGTTTAAGTTTAAACCCTCACAGTGATGACTTAAGATTCTTCCATGGATAGATGAAAGAAAATTAACTACTCTTGTAAAGTTGACATGTTTGAGTATTAGTATGTTTTTACACCATTATGCTCACAAACAAAGGCTATCGTTTCATTACACCAAGTCCAAGGAGTTGTGTTGATATTGTTGCAGCAATTGAAGCATTTGCTTGTGACTTTACAGGCTACACTAGGAACATCCACCTATTCAGTGCATAGTCACATCCAATGCAGACAACCAATTTAAGTTAAAAAGTCACATTAAAGCTATAGTCTGCAACCCTAATGAAAATAATTTAAACTGTCACTATATCCACACAGCAGTACATGAGGTGCGAAGAATAATTATATTCCTTTGCCACCTCATATTGCTTCTAATGGCCTTAATGCATGTGAACAACCAACCAATCAGAGCAGCTGTCACTGCTGGCAAACTACAGTCAAACTAGGCAGCACTGATCAAATACAAATCAAGATGATGTTGTTGCCCATTACTCAACTTACTTGCACGTTTTCAGAAAAAGATTTAAGCATTTTGTTTTTCTGTAAATTGAGAACGCTGGTCCAGTCAGTGGGTAGTGCTTAGTACTTTGGTTGATTATTTCTAAAACGGCAGTCAGATCACAAAACTCATTTTATGGGTAAACGGTACACTAAAATGTTTCTGAAAACAAGTGAAGTGAGAAACATGCAATGCAGTAACAGAATTTCAACTATTTGATCACAGTTGCCTAGTTTGACTGCAGTTCAAAGAAACTGACATCACTGAGACAGGGCTTGACGCTAACTTTCTTCCCAAGGAGCACATGTGCTCCTAAGTTGAAAAAGTAAGGAGCGCACAAAGAACTTTAGGGGCACAATGTAAATTGATCAAATAATGTGTTTTCCGTAATAAACGTGATGCAAATAGACATTTACAAGCAAAATTATTTAATGAATTTGTATACAAAATGTACAGAAAGGTAAAATCATCAAGTTTTGAAAAAGTATTGCAATTTAATTTTGTCTTTAATGTTATTATCTTATATATATTGTCTTTGCAATATGATGATCTTATATAATGTTATTACTATCCTAAAACATTCTCCAGGTCCTCTGAAACTCTGCAGGACTTAAGCCTCTTTCACACAGAGCATGATTTTTGCGGCGCCCACTGCGGGGTAGGGCGCAGAGCAAGTGGAGAGCAAGGCGCGCAAGACAGGATTTGAGGTACAGGCTTGTTCAGGAGCTACAGCTCCATGGTGACCGCTTCCGGGTCTACTTCAGGCTCTTCTCTGCTATTGGACACGCCAAGGTATCGTCACAGTGCGTTGTGGTGAAATTAAAAAAAATTCATTTGGCACGCAAACGCCGCGGCATCAGCTCGGCGGCAGAACAGTGCGCTCTTGTGCCGCGGTAGCACATACACAATGAATGGGTTCGTAGGCGGAGGTCTGCGCTTTGCGCGCTCTGTGTGAAAAGGGCTTTATTTCCACCCTGCCCAGCAGCGGTACCATGGCGAACGGTCCCTAACTGCAGGGAGAACTGAGCAGGTGTCACCGGAGGTCCGCCGCTTTTCCCGGTCCCTCGTCTCCACTACACTTTGACTTATTTCCACCCAGCGGACAGCCTGGCCGTGGAGAACGGAGCAGGCTTCCCCGTAGGTCCGCCGCTTCCTCCACACTTTGACTTATTTCCACGCTACCGACAGTGGGACTTATATTCAGACAGTGGCTTGGAAAACCGCCCATAACCGTGTCACACGGGGAAGAGGGAATGCGGCTGGAGTTCCTCCAACATTTGCGGTTAGATTACCACATTTTTTAATTGACAAAAATATAGGCTGCTTCGGCTGATTTTTTTATGCGCACATGTGCCCCTGAATATTTTTTACAGTTCGCACACACCTATTTTTAGTCGCAAATGCGAGTGAAACGCTCGCACTGTCGAGCCCTGCTGAGAGCTGCGTTCCAGACTCCTCAGCTCTGATTGATTTACAGTTCACAACTTTAGATTATAGAAGATGCAATTAGAGGCAATAGGAGGAGGGGGGAACTAGGGGTGTGCCATATCATATTATTCAAAATACTATCAGTGTAATTTATATGATCAAAAACTCATTTACCCACAATATTTCAACTTGACATACTGACATCATACCGTTACCCACGGCAACATCAAGTATGGCTGAAAAGTGACATTATTACCGACTCCACCGTAGTTCTAAGAAGAGAAGCAACTTCAGTAGTATGAAAGTAACTGAGGCATCATTATGCCGAGGCGTCCTGAATGTCCTATGAACAGCCCCAGACTTCTCACTCTTTTAGCAAGTTACCGCTCAGAGGAAACTCATTCACAGACAACACTTTTCTGCACTTGTGGAAGTAGTGACAGCCAATATAACCAAGTCTTTATATAGGAATGTTACCAAGTGTAGCTTAAAACTTCAAGGTTTGTGTGGGAAAACAAGAGAAAACTGAATTCCCTACTACAGTTTGAACTGTTCTGCAGTAAAGGATTTGAGAGGAATATCAACCATGCCTACTGCTTCTTGCTGTTATTATATTGATGGCAGTATAGGCACGCACACTTTTACTGCATGCACCAGTTCACCCAAGAGAGATGCCCCATACATACTGCTTGCTGAGGCAAGTAAAGAACATTCACCACACTATAATGTGTTTACTTACACCACGCAGTCTTCCTGGGCAGATGCCACATGCCGACTTGGGAGCTTTGCCGACCTTCTTGGTGTACAGGTAAACAATACGGTTACCAGGCGTCCGGGACCTGCAGGACAGCACGGTAACAATATTAACGTGCAGCTACAACACTGATGGGACA